TGGGGATCTTCCTGGGAACTATTCTTACACACCAGCAATATCTTGATGCTGCTTGGAATTGACTGTGAACCACATGAATATATCCCACTACATGCAGACCAATGTATCCTCAAATTCTCTGCTTAACCACAACCCCAGAATGCCTGTAGCCACCTAGTGCTTCTTAGGGAGAGGAGCTATTTCAGGAAGTCTGAGCAGGAAGAGGCAGCTGTTTCATCAATGTTCTAATTTTTCAAAATTTACAAAAACATACAGTCACATGAACATGTTTGCAGGATCTTGAAAGTGGCCTATACAAGGAAGTACTTACATTAGTTTCCTCTTGTCACTATAACAAATGATCACAAATTTATTGTCACTGTAACAAGCTACCATGAATTTAATGGCTTAAAACAATGACAGTCATCTAATTCAGAGTTCTGGAGGTCAGAAGGCCACAGTCACTTTTACTGGACTAAAATCAGTGTGGGAGTGGCTGTGTTTCTTTGGAGGCTTTCAGGAGCATCGCATCCTTACTTCTCTGGCTTCTAGAGGTCATCTTGGTACCTTGGCTTGTGGCTCCTTCCTCGGTCTTTCTGCATTCTTCTTCCATTCTTGCATCTTCTCTAGCCTTGACTCCCCTGCTTTATAAGAAGCCTGGTGTTTACACTGGGCACTTGTGGATAATCACCCCATCTTGCAATCTTAATCATATCTGTAAAGCCCCATGCCTTAACACACTCGTAGTTCTGGGGACAAAGACATGGATGTCTTGGAGGGATGGTGATCCAGCTTTCCATAAAGGCCTTGAAGCTTAAACTTCACTCTCTTCAGGAAAATATGTCTTTGTTCTCATTTCAAAAACCTATTTTGTTACCATGTTCTGATTGTGAGATTTCCAGTAGAGAAGCATGACCTTAACTGCAACTTGGATAAAAGGCACTAATGGAAAAAAAGAGCAATATTCTTGAAAGCAAACAATTTGGGACCTAATGTGGATAAAAAGGCAACAATATCTTTGAATAGTGAGTAGAGTGGAGGAAAGAAAACTTACTCAGAGTAGAAGTTTTTGTTTTGTGTTTTTTCTTTTTGCAATGCTGGGGATTGAACCCAAAGCTTCACTCATGCTAGGGAAGAACTCTACCACTGAGCTATATCCCCATCCCTCTTAGAATTTTATTGTGAACAAGTCTCACTAACTTGCCAGGCTGGCCTCGAACTTGGGATCCTCCTGCCTCAGCCTCCCACATAGCTAAAATTACATGTATGTGCCACCATGCCTGGGTAGAATTTTCACTTAGGAAGTTTTCTTTTTTTATTTCTCTTGTTTTAGTGTATATATTTATATATACTAAATATATGCTCCTGCATCGTCTTAGAAAATACAGAAGACTTTGAAAACCATTGAGCATTTACCAGAAAAGACTCAAAGCAGTTTAGCCACTATCCTGGTATAACTAGTTGCCTCTGCAGAAAGAGATGCAGAATGACGAGATAAAAACACACCATACTTACAAATTATGAGGAATGAATGTCCTTGTTTTTGAGCTTTATTTTCATGGTCGAGTATGTTGTTTCTTTGTAGTACTCATGAATGACCACAAGGGGACGACATGCTCCAGAAAAGTACAGCATTTAAGCATCTCCCTTCTCTCAGGGCAGAGGGGTGAGGCAGGTGTCTTTGGCCATACCCTGGGTTCCCAGCACAGCCCCAAGCCACTGCATATGAAACAAGTAGCCCGTATTTATCTACACCAGTGCTAGACTCAATTCAGCTGTAAACATTTAAACCATTAGAAAAAAAAATGACACATTTGTGCCAGCCATCGTCTTTGCAAAACTATTTGAGGAAAAACTTGAAGCCTAGGAGAATAATATTTCCCTCCTGCAACCAGCATCACTAGGAAGTGTTCAAGCAAAACATTCAGAATGGACTCCCTCCCTTTGTTAATTGCAAAGCAAACATCTTAGATGCCGAATTTTTGGAGCTACTAAAATAACAGCTGGAGTCCGAGGAGGAGCAGGAGGAAAGGATCTGGCTCTGCCTGCAGCACCCTTTGTTGTTTTGGTTTGCACGCACCCACACATGCCAAGACCACGCAGATTTCTCACACAGAGAACAATGCACTCGACAGGAAGAGACGGAGTGTCTCACCCAATTACCCTTCCCCTCCAAAAGTTAAGTAACTGATATGTGGTAAAGGGATAGCTTTTACAAAGGTTTAAGCTGTACAAATCCTGTAAAGGTGACTGTGAAATCCTGGGTTTGGGCAGGGGCACGTTTTTGGATGACAGATTTGCACCTTACATGACTGTGGTGGGAGTCCAGGAAGTGAAGGTTTGGGTAGGAGTATTGGAGAATTAATAAAAAGCAACTTGCTAGTCTGTCAGAGGAGTCTGGGAAGCCAAACCCAGCTTGGCCTCACTGAAGTAGTAGCTGTTTTCTCTGTAGCTGCTTTGGCTTCTAAGGTTCTCTACCAAGTGTCTGGTGGTAGGCCTGGGGCTCTAATGTTCACCAGAGCCAGCAGTCAAGAAGAACTGGATCTAGGGAGAAGGGAGAAGAACTGGATCTAGGGAGAAGGGAGTCAAAGACAAGCTGGACACTGCCTGGTATCTTCGCATCTGTATATCACTCTTGTCTGACTGTGGTAATGACCCTTCTCTACTCCATCTTTGGGTCAATTCTAAACTGGAGCCATTTAGGAAAGAGGTTTCTGGGAAATGTAGTTCCCAATTGTTTTAGTCCCTTTTTGCCTCGTTGGAACAAAATACCTGACACCCACAACTGAAAGGAGGAAAGATTTATTTTGACTCATAGTAGTTTATAGAGGCCTCAGTTGATCATCAGATGGGCAGGGCAGTATAGCAAAGGGGCATGGTGGCAGGAAGCAGGGAGTGAAGGGAGGAGTCAGGAGGAAGATAAACCTTTCTGGGCTAGACCCTAGGGACCTGGCTCTTTTGACCAGACCCCACCTCTTAATAGCAAGTCTGTTAGCCTGGATAATCTAGTCACCTTTCAAAAACCTCACCTCTGAGTGCATGAGACTCTGGAGGGACAACTAGATATGAACAAAAACAGCAATGTAGCCAACTTTCAAAACAGAGCAGAGCAGTGCAGTACACTTACAGGCTCTTACCCAATTTGGCCGGTGAGAAAACTGAGGGCCATCTAAGTTAGGCAACCTGCCTGGACTCACACTGACAGCTAGAGGCAGAAGCAAATTTGGGCTTCAGGTCAGGAGGATAATGAAGGCCAGAGGGATGTTCTCCCATCTCACTGTCATGCCTTCAGCTTTGGTGGAACTTAAACATTTAAATATTTCAAGCCGAAGTTGTATAAAATCACCACTCCTCACTTCTGAGTTCTCTTCCTAGGCTAAGAGGCAGGGGGTCTGTCAGTGTCCCTTCCCTGTGTATAAACCACATCGATGCCATACTCTCTAGAGGGCTCTGGAGTTACAAGGACTCTTTGGGGAAAAGGTATGCATGTACCTACCAGGTCTCAAAGTAACTGAACAATGGAATATGAGTGATCAGGCATTTGAAACTAGAATTTTGCTTGGGATGCAGGATATGTGAGAACTTGAATTCCAATGCTCCTAAGAACTAATCTCCCAAAAGCATGTGCATATCACATACACACACACACACACAAAAAGTCAATTAAAGAAAAAAAAAAACTCTCCTAAGCACATAAGAAATGATGGTGTCCATATCTTTGGTCATTTATATTGTTTTTAAAACATGCCCAGAAACTGAAAATCAATAGGCTTATAAATATTCTCATAAGTGAGCAGAAAAAGCAAGGGCAGCAGAAGATAATCTGGGAAAACCTCCTGGTCCAGGCTGCTCCTGCCTTTTCTCCATTTCTTTCTGGCCTCACGTTTTCTCTCAAACCCTTCTCTCTCCTCCTTAGAGACTGTACCAGTTCAGGGCTTGTGAAGTCTGGGCACAGGAAAGGCTAAGGGTTCATGCTGGTCCCCAAAAGCCCGGGGACGTCTGCTCAGCCCAGATAACGAGCAGCTAAGAAGATTGTCGCCTCTGTATTGTTCAAGAGCTGGATTCAGCCATCATGTCAGGCTTAGGTCACCCCAGGGACTCAGACTTCACTGCAAATTCGGGCTTAGAGGGATCTTAACTGTCACCGTCATCTCAAAATGAGCTCCTGGTAATCTTTCAGATGGAAGCAAAGTGTGCCTACGTCTCACGTTAAACCTTGCCTCAATTCGGCTCTTTTCTCAGAATCCTGTGTTTTCATTTCCACATGTAGAGAACTGTGCCACCCGCCCCTGCCACGGCAGAGCCTGAGTTTATGGTCCACTGACCCTGGGGGCTGGGGCCCCGCTGAGAGCCATTCCTATAAATCCATCTTCTGAATAGTATAGCTCCTGACGGGCAGGAAAGGGGACAGCTGACATTTCCACAGGAAAATAAGGTGGATAAGTAATGAATATTGCTTGGAGCCTATGCATTTGTTTTAAGATAGCCAGAATGAGAAGACTCTTACAGACTAGAAATGACTTTAATTTTTTAAAAAAACCTTAAAAGTATTTTTTACATGTCTATCTTCTAGTTCACACAGTCCGTTACAAAATGAACCGAGCTAATTGTAGTCAAGGTCATGAAAGGCCAGAAAAAAAAAATTCACTTGTTGAAAATTAATTGCCAATGTGATAGTATTAATTTCTGTGAGCTTTAGGGAGCGATTAAGCCACGGGGGTGAAGCCCTCATGGACAGAATATAAAGGACTTGCAGAGGTGGGAGTCTGTTCCTTCAGTGTCTTCGTTCTGCTCGGGGTCACAGCAGCCAGGAGCCACCTGGAAGCAGACAGTAAATCCTCACCGGGCACCGCACAGAGGACCCCATGGTCTTGAGGGTCCCAACCTCCCCAGCTGTGGGAAACAAATATTTCATTTATGAATTGCCCGGTCTCAAGAAGTTGTTACAGCAGCACAAACAGACTGAGACAGTTACCTTTCATGCTTTGGCTTTGCTAATCTCCTACTAGATTTTTTTTTTTAAGTCTCAGACATGGTGTTTCCCGCAGAGCGGTTAGGTTTCAGGATTTTCCTACAGTTAGTTCACCGTCTAAGATCTTCTCATCTGTCTGCACGGGGAGTCCCCGGATTGCATACCATCTCGCTTCTGATTTTTACAAACAAAAAGAGAAAAGGGATGAAAAGAAGATAAAGAGCATCGACCACACATTAAACCGTAGCTAATCGCAAGAGTAATTAATACTTACGTGACATCATCACGATGTCCGTGCAGTCGCCTGGAGTCTGAAGTTGAACCGCTATGATACGCACTCAGCTGATTCACGAAAATAAACCTGGCCTAGAATCGTGCATTCTTCCCGTAAAGCGTGGACGCAGCGGCCATGGGGAGCAGCGTGGCTCTCCCTTGGGGCACAGCGGGCACAGTGGTTCGCAAACTCAGCTCTGCGAGGTGCTCACCAGCCACGGCGCGGCGGTGTCTGGGTCAACGCCATCCGATGTTTAAAAGAACTTGTCTCCAGGCAGCCGACCTTCACAACATATATAGGAAATTAATAATTGTCACTTTACTTCTTTTCGTCTTCATTTATTGTCCGTGGAAAATTAAGTTCTGAACTTCCTTTGATTGAGACCCAGAGACAGTTGACTTCCGTTATCTCTTCCTCTGCCATTAGATCCCATTGCAAAAGGGAGCTCCCCAGAAATTCTGCTGGGACCCATTTCCAGCAAGAATAAGAGCACCTCTCACCCAGCACTCTGGGAGGCTGAGGCAGGAGGACTGCAAATTTGAGTCCAGCCTGGGCAACTTAGTGACTTGCTGAAACCCTGTTTAAAATTAAAAAAAAAAAAATTAAAAGGGCTGGAAAAAAGGGGGTCCTGGGGATGTAACTCAGTGTGAAGCATTCCCTGGGTTCAATTCCCAGTACTGTGCATGAGTGGCCTCCAGCCACAGGACTGCTGCCACCTCACACTTACCAACTACATGCTCGTGCTCACAGGCGGAAAACTCCTTAGGAAGTCCAGCCAGCTCGTGGCCCACATTCCTGGGAAGAAACCACACTCAGCTGGGGCAGAAGCGGCACACAATCACTCAGGTCAGCACCATTAAGTCAGCGGAGTCACCACGCCCTTCTGAGGCAGCACCGAGTAAATCCCATCCAGGAGCTGAAGTCTCCAAACAGCATCCAAGCCTCCCAGTGACATTGTGTGCTTTTCAATAGCTCCAGAACATTGTTAGACAGCAGACGAGCTTCATAAGAATTTAACTACGAGCTATTAAAAGCAACTTAAAAGCAAAGTACAATTATACCCCAATAAAGTTGGTGAAGAGGACAATTACAAGGGCCTTAAAAGCTGTCTTTTAAGGAATGATTGGTTAGTCATACTTTTTCCAGCTCACCTGTTCTTATTTCTGTGACAGCACAATTTACCTACCTGTTCCTTGGTACTTTTCCCTCACAGTCCTGAGTCCCCAGGCTCACCCCTCCTCTGTCGCTCATTCTTCCTTTTGCTTTTGATTTAGTATCATTCTGGCCACTAGTTTCTCTCCAAAGCTCAACACTTATTGCTTTTCCACAAGGCGAAGTCACTGAACTCTTCTCAAATTAGCTTTGGGGTGAACTTAATGTCATTTCTAACCAAAATGTGTACCATACAATGTGCTTAGCTGTCCACAAGGGGATGTGGGCCAGCTGTAAGGACACCTCACACTGCCCTGGAAGGAGACCCGACCCAGGAAGGCCACCACAGGGCTGACTGCAGTCTCATTGGCTTCCTCCTTTTTTCTCCTCATGATGACCTTTGTGCAATCTTCAAACTCAAGTGTGCCTGAGTGTGGGCAAAGTGCCTCTGCTAGTTATTTCAGAATATAAACAGCAGTAAAAAAGATACCTGTCCAGTTTCCAGAAGGGATGCTGTGGGAGCCCACTGGCACTTGACATTGGAAAAGTAACTTCTTCTACCACTGAGGTATTGATACAATCTATGACTCTATCTGTTTGTTTATTTGGCTTTTCTGAGACAAGGGTCTCAGCTAGCAGATGAGATTGACCTGGATCTCATTGTGTAATCCAGGTTGGGTTTATGGGATTACGGGTGTTGACCTGGAGCTCACTGTGTAATCCAGACTGGTTTTATGGGATTACAGGCATGCACCACCACGCCTGGTTCAAGGGCTTTGTTAAATTTGACCTTGTGATGGGAGGAACTCAGATAGCCAAAGATCTGATCTCCTCCCTAATAGTTGCTTGGTGGTTCCTGTTGGTGTGCCTTTAAAAGGAGCTGTTTCTGTGAAATAAATCAGACCTCTTGTCTCCACACTATTGAGTGTGCTGTCCTTTCTCAATCCTCACTCCCCAACTCAGGTACGTTCGTGTTGTGACAGCTGGACCGTCACAGGATGCTGGTGAATGCAGGAGAAGGTGCGGGTGCCTAGGGACCGTCTCTGCAGGTGCAGACATCTGTCAGTATCTACAGGGCATCCTGTGTGGCAGCCAAAATCCACAGAGGCCCAGGTCCCTTGCATGAAATGACGTTGTGTCTGCAGGTAACCTCTCCACTTGGTCCGAATCCTTTACATCATCTCTAGGTTACTTATACTATTGAATACCGTAGGCTTCACTACGTTTGATCCAGAGCTGGTTGAATGCATGGATCTGAAACCCACAGATGCACTGTGAGAGCTCTGTACATGAGGAGCACATCTCTAGACAAAAGCACCAGGCTCATCACTTCCCAAGCCAGGCCACAGTCCTGCAGTCACCAGAGGTCGTCAAGAAGGCCTAAAGGCCATCGCTGGCCAGACGTTTCCTGCAGAACTGGGGTAGCTGTGCAGTGGGAGAGGACCTCCGTAGACGGACGAGGGTCTCTCTCACCGTCTCCCCCGGGTCCACAGCAGAGAAGGCCACTCTCTGGCAGTTGCACTTCAGGCTTTTTACCCAGTGATCAAGTGCTTTGATCCAGAAGTGATTCATACTCCCAAACTCCTTCCGGATGACAACAGGCCTGGGAACCCACAACGGGGCTAATACAGCGGCCCCTCCTGCTGTCACAGATTTACCGATCTGTGTCGCTTCACAAATCAAGTTTGGAGTCTTATTCCCCACTCTCCCAGTTCTTTTATCCCCGTGGTATATACTGCAGGACGCGTGTCATCGCTTGTGTTCTTCTGCTCATGTTCTGACGTTGATGATAACCTCAATGTTTTGAGAAAAAAATAGTTGAATACAATGCTTTTGGTTTTGCCATTGTCATATCATTAGATATGAGCTGCTCTCATTATCATTGAGATACTCGCTTGGGGTACGCAAGGGTACCTCGTGCCTCTTCTCTCTTAGCTTTATCTGCTAACTGCTCCCTGAACCGCAGACTTTGCTGGCACAGAGCAGGTCTGCTCGCAGCTGCCTACACACCAGCCACACCTTCCCATCTGGGGTGCCCCTCCCTCTTTCTAGGGAAATCCCCTCTTGGACCACCCATCTCTACTTTTACTTCCAAGGCTCTCTTCCACTTGAGTCTTTCCTGATGGACCCCAACTTTCTTTGACAAATAGACCCGCACTATCCTTTTGACACCAAGTACTCACTGTCTGTGACTTCTCACCTTCGTCTATCAAGGTGAAACAGGAAATGGGCAACACCAAATAGTTTTTCTGTCCCCTACAACAACTGTAATCACTTAAGGTTCAACTCTTCCAAACATCTTCTTACCCCTGTACACATACTCTTTGCATTCTTAATTTCTACGACAGCCACTCGTATTACTTATGTGCTTCCTTTTAAGAAGAGAGATCTGTGGGTGACACATGACTGTAATCCCAGTACTTGGGAGGCTGAGGCAGAAGGATTGCCACAAGTTTAAGGCCAGCCTGACAAAACAGTGAGACCCTAGCTCCAAAAACAAACAAACAAAAAAAAAAAAAAAGGAAAAAAGTTAGGCCTTGACTATTCTTAAATTGGCAAAATAGTACATAAGCTTTGATTTTAATAAACAATGATCCTAATTCATTAATATGCTAACTATGGTTGATCCGGGACATCTGTGAATCTCTCTGAAAAACACCTTACTACAAACTAAAATATAAACATAAAACTTGAAGGTACTGAAAGTTAGGCTATAGGCATTGAATTACAGATATTATAAGGCTTTAGTGGATTCTACATTTCCAAAGATCATCCACAGACTTTTCAACAATAAATCCTATATTGAGTAGAATATAGTTCACATTTATTATATCATTATGCAACTTTGGAAAAAACATTAAGATACTGCACTTTTTTCTAATTACATTAGATTCCTCTGTCCCTCTTCTTTATTGTGTTAATTACTCTATACACAATTCTATAGTAATTACATTAATTATCATAAAATAATAGAACTTGATAAGGAAAAACATAACAACAAAATGCACACAATCTTAAAGCAAAGGGACCTAAAAGGCATTTTATGTCAAGTACAAGGCAGTGTTGCTTTCCCAAATAGAAATGTTCAAAACAGCATATGACCCTGAGGTTGCCCATATGGTACCTCCGACCTAGGTAAGGAAACAAGTCGGCACTGCACGCCTCCTTGACGCAGCTCTGCGGACAGGTCGGAGAAGTCTGGGTTTCTTCCCCAGTGATTCCACTTCCTAGATAGAGCCCAGCTTTCCTTAGCTAATGAATCATGTCTTTAGAACTTGAGCCCAAAACGCTGGTAACATTTTGGAGCAAGACTTTCATTACGTAATACGGGACCATTCAGAGGACTTCATGAAGCCAGAGAAGAATGGATTCTTGGGGGGAAGAGAGTGAAGTTCGTATTTGTTTAATTGATTCAGCAATTTGTGATTGATGAGCTGGTAAAAACAAATTCTATAACTTTAGTTCTTACATTTTTTACTCTTGAAATGTACATAGAATGCTGTGGTAGTCCTGACGACTAGAGTCTATCTTAACATTAGAAGACACAGGAAGAAGTCAATTATTTCCTGACAGCAGGAAGCCCACCCCCCACCACCGAGCTCTTTCACCATCTTGAGATGTCTTAGGGGACATTTCAAAGGTGAGACTTTTCTTCAAAGATCTTCTTCCTTTATGGTTCCAAACACACAGACACCTTCAGCTCTCTTGATCTTGTGTTTTCTTGATAGAAAACTAGAATGCTTCTTTTGCTGGGAACAAAATGGAAAAGTCAGAAATGTAAATGAGAGGAAGTGATTTCCATAATAACAATTACAAAAACTTCAAGGAGCTTAAACTAATATTAAAGGACAACAGAAAGGGAGCGCCTGTTTAAGCAATGGTTATTTTCAATGGTTCTATCCTTCGAAAGCTTTATTTTTGGGTCAGGCGCCCATGTGAAAAAAAATCCGGGGCACCTTACCAGGCAGACAGGTTCAACATTTTTTTTCTGTGAGAAATTGTTCTGGATAGAAAATCCCTGCAGCAGAGGGGTTAACCAGCAAATTTTATTTGTCAACCGTGAAGACTGCTGGGATTCAGAGACTGGCTCCTTTGTGGGCCTGGAAAAGGTACATAACTTTTCTGTCTCAGTCCACAGGCCATAAACCAAAGATGGAAACAGTAACAACGGGGTGGTTGTGAGGGTGAAATGAGTTGGGTGGTCACCTTGCCGTGTCGGGTTCCTGCATCCACACATGTGACCAGGCTCCGATGGAAATTATATTTTTAAATTGAATCTGTACTGACCACATGGGCCTTCTCTTGTCATTACTCCTAAGCAATTCAGAATAGCAACCACTGACGCAACGAGCACGCTGTATTGGGCACTAACAGGAACAGAGACCATTTAGGGTATGTGGAGGAGGTGCCTAGGTTCCAAGCAATACTCTGCCACCTTCCACGAAAGGCACTGAGCACCGAGGCTCCCAGCACCCTCCGGGCAGCGAAAGGACTGCAGACGGGGATGCTGGCTGTGCGGCTCGGGCTGGGCTCTGCGAGATGAGGCGGGAGTGGACCCTTCTCATGGCCGGCCTGCTCAGACGTGGGGAGGCTGGCGCAGTTGTGCTGTTGAGGTGGGGTGGGGGCGGACAGCGTCTCTCACCCTGACCGCTCAGCCCGCTCACCTGGAGGCCTTGGGGAGCACAGACTGCTGGGCCCCCCGGGGGGGTTGGGGCCCCTAGATTTGCATGTTCTCAAGTGACGCTGACCTGCGTGGTCCAGGGACCATGACATCTATCTATCAACAGATGAATGGATAAGGAGCAAGCGGCGGGTACACGCAATGGAGTACTACTCTGCTATAAAGAAGGCTAACCTTGAGTGATCTGTAGGAAAATGGACGCACCTTGACACCATAAGATCAACTGAAATAAATCAGACACATAAAGCTTAAATATCACATTGTTTCTCTTACTGAGAAACCCAAAATATAAACAAAGAGCAAAATAAAAGATAATAGGAAACAGGGAGATAGATCTTTTTGCAAAAGGGAAGAGGACCAAGAGATGGAAGGAGAGAGAAGGGAAGGGAAGGGAAGAGGAAAAAAGAGTTAAAATGTGTTATATAGTTGTCCTAGCTCCCCATGATGAGTGTGGTCACGGTGTACACAAATATGCACTAATTTTAAAAAATGTAAAAGCCCTTCAGGAGTCCCTGGTGCACAGAGAAGTTTTTGGTCTGTCTGAAAACACACAGCCAGCAGTAGTGGAGCTCCTGCCTCCTATCTCTGATCCGGCCAGCCAAAAATGTCACTGTTACAAAACAAAGTTTTGCACGGATGCTGTCTCGTCTTCTTAGCTCCTTCACTCAAGCAAAGGTCCCTGTGTCCTTTCCTATTATAAACATGGGCTTCCACGTGACGGCATGTTATCTCCACACCAGGCCCTGTGTGAGGCGTGGGCTCAGTAATAAAACCAGCTCCATGCTATTTAGAGGTCTCCTTTGTTCATTTGTCTATACTGGAATTTGGGCACAGAAAAGAAGAACTAGTTAGTAAAGAGCACAGTCCCAGGCTGAGTTGCCTACTTCCTGCCAACACTGACTACTGTTTCGCCGTAAGAGAGTCACTTAACCTCTCTGTGCCCTGCTTCCCTCAGGGGATTTAGAGGATCATGGAGAGGACAGATGTGTTAATTCACATACCAGTGCTTGGAACACTGTCTAGCAATGATGAGGGCTCAATCCTGTTACTGTGTTTCTCTACATTTATTATCTGCACAGCAGAACTAAATGCTCTAAAGAATATCTCATAAACCCCAACATTGTTTTTTACTGATTACACTGCACTGCTCAAAACCTATGAAATTGAAACTTATCAGATATACTAAAATGTTCAAACTAGAAAGAGGATTTCTAAAAAATACATAGGTGCAGAAGAAAATCACCCCACTCCCCAAATTGTGTTCTTGGAAACTTTTGACATAAAAATGCCCTCAGCCTGGGGTGGTGGTGCACACCTGTCATCCCATGGCTCTGGGAGGCTGAGGCAGGAGGATCACAAGTTCAAGCCCAGCCCGGAGACATTATCAACACTGTCTCAAAATAAAAGAATAAATGAAAGCAAAAGGGATAGGGATGCAGCTCAGTGAAAAGGCCCTAGGTTCAATGGAGGGAGGGGGAGGGGAGGGTGAGGGAGGAAGAAGGGGAAGGGGAGGGGAGGCAGAGGAAGAGAGGGGAAGGGAAAGGAAGGGAAGGAAGGCAAGGCTGAGCCAGGCCAGGCCCTTAGTCATGCTGGGTGTTACAACAAAACTACTACACTTCTGTGCCGGCCTCCAACTGGTCCAACCACAGAATTCCAACTTACTCTTGGAAGTAGAAAGACTTTGGTTAAAGTGGTCAAGGGGGCAGATTTATCAGAACTGTAATATATCACTTACATAACTGCTCACAGACCTTGCTTTGCTGAATGTGCCATGTTTTACTTTTTCTTGTTCCCGGAACTTCCATCTGCTGAACAGATTAGTAAAGTGTCAGTCGACACAACCCACAGGGGCCAGCACGCAAGCCACCCACTTCACATTTGGGCCTGCGCAGTAACCCTCTCACCCGCTCGTGGGCTGTGCATTCCCCTGGCCTGCGTGTTACAGAATCAAGTCCCCAAAGGTGAAGCAAGGAGTACCCAACCTAGTTCTCCCCGCCCTCAGTCTCCTGTGGGGACTCCCACTGGGGGACCCCAAGCAAGGTCAGAGCACACAGGGCAGTTCGTGGGGTACAGAGCATGGGGGAGAGGTGTGTGGCACACCCCGTAAACTCAAGCTTGCCCAGGCATCTCCTGGTGGAAAAGAGCAATTAAGCAAATCTGCATTCTGTGCTTCCCTCCCATGAGGCACCCGGGTGTGAAGCGGTCAGAAACGACTCTGTCCTAACTGCCTTTCTCCTCGTCACTGGCTCCAGGGTTTCGAAGCACCACATGGCAAACCCAGGCTTCGTAAATGACAGGACGGAGGGGCGGAGGGGCATTTAACAAACAATGGGATAAATGACTCAACGCTGCAAAGGGGCACTGCCTTTTGACTGTGGTTAACTTCATTCTGCTGCAAAATAAGTTGCTTTCAGGGGATGTACAGTACCCAGGAATCCTGCCAGGTTAGCCTTTTAAATAGAAATGCTCAGATATTTGAGGCCTGCATTTCAGTGAGGTAAAAAGCCAGCTAAGTCTTGGCAAATGAGATGGTAATGCTCTGATACCACACTTCACTATTATTTTTATTGTTTTACATTGTAGTTTATGACCGGCTGCTGTGAAATACAGAACTCATACAATTTTTCTTTCTCTTACTCCCCCATGTCATAATAAACAAAATGCAACCCACTAAAAAGGCGAAGTGACTTCACATAATCAGTCTCCTTGACCCATTTGTAGGATGTCTTGAAGTGCTTTATGCAGTAGGGGGAAGAAAGTTGAGGAAAGTGAAACCTGGTCTCCCGGCACAGTTCTCCTGCACTTTCTCTTTTTTCTAGTGAGTGTTTTCTATTAATGTGGTCACTCGTGCCTGCTTGTCACTTTCCCTGGCTCGGAAACTCTGCCCCCTGGTGTACTCGGCCCATTCTGTGACTGCCGTCCTGTGTCTGCGACTAAGACACATGTTCAGCCTTACTTTCTGTTATACGGGACTAAACCTAACCCTGCCTGGTGAATGTTATTTTCAAGCCAAACAATCTTCTATGATTTTTCTCTAGTTAAAAGTAGCGAATATTAACGAAATATCTCTGCCTTTGTACGGGGGATAGCCTTTGGAAGAATGTCACATCCCCCTTCTCTTCTGTGTGGTTACGTATGTAACAAGAAATTCTTTATTTGTGGCTATGTGTTTGCAGCATTCTTTACCGCCTTTATTTCACTCAAATTTTAGAGACTTCTTCATAAACAGTTCAAGCCTTATCTTTGAAAGCATCGTCCAAAGCTATCTAGGCCAATTAACTTCAGTTAGTGCACATTTCTTCTCCTTCCATATCATATTAACAGGAAAAACCCAGTACTATTTAATCTGCTTCTGAGAACCATGTCCTTCATGTAGGGGCTCGTTTGGTTTCAGTTGCTCAGTTTCTCCCACTGACCCAGATTCTTCAAGATTATCAAAATACAGAATGCATTTGGACACAGAATCTGCTTTGCAGAGATGTCTGGGTCCTGACCCATGTGGGCCTTCTACAAGTGACTTCCGGGTTGAGACTACGTGTTTGCCTAGAAGAAACTGAATGTCACCATCTTGCACTTACACAGCCACCTGAGGGCTCAGAATGACTTTAGTTCCTTCCCTGTCCTCGGTGGGGAGGCCCAGCAGCCTGTGTGAGTCACAGACTCATGTGTTCCATCCCCTCCAGGGGTTTTGTAGACAGAGTTCCAGACTGAAATGCAGGCAGACTCCCCCCTACAACATGCTTTGAAAACCCAATTTTCAAGAGGAGGAGGCTTGACTTTTCTTTCCAAGAACTCAAATGAGCAAAGACATAGTTTGTGGAAATAAAGCTTGGTGACCATTTGGATAAAGCAATTCAAGAGTGTTGACTAACATGCTGATTATCTACTAGTCGCAGTGGTAAATGAAGGGTTCAATTCATGCACAAATCTAGGGAATGTAGCATGATTCCTTTCTGGTTTTTTGTTGTGTGTGTGTGTGTGTGTGTGTGTGTGTGTGTGTGTGTGTGTGTTTGTTTCTGTTTTTGGTACTGGGGATTGAACTCAGGACCTCAAGCTTGCAAGGCAGGCGCTGGAACCACTGGGCTAAATCCCCAGCCCATGATTCCTTTCTTTTGGATCTTTAAACAGATTATTACCTTCTCCATTTTATTGGGCTCTTTAGCTATTCATTGTCCAAATATTTCCTGAATCGAGTGGCTTAGGTTTTGCCCATCCACATTTGAGGGCACTTCTTCCCTTTAACGAGGCTACTTCGGTTAATTACTTTTCTCTTTCTTCTTTTTTATATATATAGTAATCAAAGCCTAAGAGGGTTCACCCTGCCTAAGAGGTTTGATATTATGACTCCTTTAAAAAAGAGCCCACTTCATTTACTGCTCTCCAGGACATTTTGAATTGTTTGATCACCAGGAGGCAGTGAAGCTGTTTTCCCTGGAAAGATATTTCAGTTCTAGAGGAAAGAGAAGTAAGTCTAAAACTCAATTAGTTTCTTAGGAAAAAAGCTGTCAGGTCAAGTAAAGATTAAGTTTAAACTAAAGACATTATCTATCCTTTTGTAAAGGACTACATTTAAATGAAAACATTTGGGAAGTTTCCAATTATTTTCTGTTGTATTTTTAAAAGATGAGTGCAACATTAAATAAGCTTAAATATGTCAACGAGCCATTAGTATTTACAATCATTTCGAAAACATCAAGCTGTACTAGCTTATCTGGGACATGCTCATATCATGATAAGGACAAGGTAATTAGAAAAGTTTGAAATCTTGGTCATTTGTGGCTTCACAGCCTGCCCACCAGCTTTTTCAGAGAGCTTCTAGTAACTGGGCCTCCAATAAATAAATGTAGTGTAGAAAAATAGAGTTAATTTTGCGTTGAGAAAAAAATACTGGAGAGTTTCTTCTACTCTCTGGCTTCTCCCATCTGCTAAAGGCATTTCCATTTGATATACTGGAAGTACCAGGAGGCTGTGGGTTCTTTCCAGAGAAAAGCAGAGCTTATTTACGATCATCTCTGCTCCGTTAAAGGTCCTGACTTTGTCAGAAAGTTTTTTTGTTTTGTTTTGTTTGAGACAGGGTCTCACTAAGCAGTTGAGACTGACCTGGAGCTCACTATGTAGCCCAGGCTGGTCTCGAACTCACAGTGATCCTCCTGCCTCAGCCTCTGGAGTGCTGGGATTACAGGCGTGTGCCACCACGCCCAGCTATAAAGGTTTTATGATAAATCTGAGAGCTTCCATTTTAGGACAAGGCAGAAACAAAACAGTGTGACTAGCAAGTTATAGAGTTCTCAGTAATCCAAAGATGACTTTTCCCTGGAAAAATGGCTTGAATTCTAAGGACAGACTTTCTCCTGGCCCCCCATCCTGACCACAGAGCACCAGAGGCCTGAGGAGTTCATTTCTTGTGGGGTGGATTCTTCTTTGAGGACCAGATCTGCTGGCCCAGAATTCTGAAGAGCAGTTCAGTCTCCAGGTCTTGCTCCCATTGGGGACTTAAAGGGGAAGTGGACAGCACTTACCATTTCTGTATTCTCAGCAGCTTGCTTTGCCATCTTTTCTGAGATCATCTTTTTCAAGCAGCTACTCAGCAAAAATGCCTAAGAAATCCAGAAATAAAGAAGGCTCTGTACTCAGGAAGTTTTCATTTTCTTTCTTCTCTCCTCATTCCACAGAGCAGAGTTTGAACTCCACTTAAAATCCAATAGCATGCTAAGAATTTGGATTTCTTCTTTAACTACCAGAAATTTGCAAAAAATTCAATTAGCAAGTTAACATAAATTTTCTCAATTACATGGATATATTTACAGTGAAATTTAAAGGCAGAAAAAAAAAATGGCCAGAATCTTATTACGAATCTTTATCTCCTTAAAACTCCCCACTTGCCAGGTTGATTAGTTTATAAGCAGATCATATTTTATGAGCAATAAATAGTACAAGGTACTTATTAGTATAATCAAATAAACTGATGACAGTGAATCCTATAATTTTATACATAATTACCAAGAGACTTATTATTATAAATAGTAACCTGTCTGAAAGAATATATTAGCATCTTATTGCTTTTACTGAAATTTTAGAAATTAATTGTTTTCTTCATTTCTTATTTTCCCAATACACTTAATCATTCACTAGTAATGTGGATAGTTGCCTGCAGCGTAACTGGTGACTTAATTATCATTGCCAGTGACAAGACACTTACAGAGGCATATCCTGCTACACAAAGACAGGAGCTCCCTTGTTTGAAGGTCTGCATCCTATGTGCCAAATTTAAGGTGCCCTATGATTTTCCCATGGGCTCTTCCTCCACTAATCCTTTGTCTTTCTTGTCTTGCTCTTATTTCTTGACTTGCTGTTTTCTCTTTTGACCCTATTAAGGTTTGAGACAACTAAAGTGTAAGGCCTGAGGCTCAAAGACCTTAGTATAATAAGACTGTGCTCATGGATGGTCACTACTGAGGGGGGTGATGGAAAAGAGGAATGGGAGATAGAGGGAAACCCAGGCCAGGGCAGTGGATAAAGTGAAAATCTCTCAGAAGATGGCACACAGCGGAATTAGAGGGAGAATGGTTGACATAAAGGTAACATCTGGCCATCTTTCAGGGGTGTAGAGCATGACAGGAATGAAACGTCCTTTTAAAAAAGGAGGGGAGAGAGGAAAAGCAGTGTCACCAAACCAGGAAAAGAGCACATACATGAAATGAATACCCAGACTTTGACTTCCTAGTATTGCTAAGAATATATATCTGTACATATATATCCTACACAAAACCAGAGTATGAAATAGTTAACCAATAAACCCTGAGCTGATGCAACCAGGAAAGGATGCTTAACAGTACATTCCTCAAAATGCAGATTGATTCTATTTTCTTCTACTGTGTATGCAAAAACAAAAACCTCTCTGCTATAAACCAGGTCAGGTTTACTAGATATAAACTGAGCTTTTGTTTAAAAAGCATAGGAAAAGATTTGGGTCCAAGCCTTCACTTGTATCATACAAGTCACATTTCTGCCTTTTGCAAAAAGGTGTACATCAATAAAATGTTCCAAAGGAAATAAGATCTTACTAGGAATCCTTTAAAACAATGTTTACTGTGCCTCTCCTGCCATGGCTTAAACTCATCCACTACTGTCGAGATTTTAAAAATCACAATACAATTTAGTTGCATTTAGTATTCTGAGGAAGGAGTAGATGAGCAATTAAAATGAACCTAGACTGGGTATAGTGGTGCACATCCCAGCATTCAGGAGGCTGAGGCAGGAGGCATGTTGCAAGTTCAAGGCCAGCCTGAATTACATAATGAAACTCTGTCTCAAATCACTGCCCCTCCCAAAGTGACCCTACAGACGTATTTCTTTAACCAAGGAGTATAGTTTAGTACTTTGTGTTTTTCAGAGGACTTTGATGTCATGACCTCAACGGTATTAGAATTAGTTTAAAGGGGGCTTTGGTTACTCAAAACCAGAATGTTCCATGGAACTTAGTAAGATTCAAATTGAACATAATGAAATTTTGACTCCATTTTAGAACACCTGTGGTTCTGATTCCAATTTGAAATACCTTAGGTTCAGTAAAAGATGTTTTAACTGGATTTGATATTTTTAAAATTAATTATTTTTAGGACTTCCATCCCTATTTTAGTTATAAGCCTGTGATAAATATGGATAGTTAACTATCCGACAGCCATTGCTTTTTTCTTTCCTAAAAGACCTTAATTTTGTTTGGGATAAGAAGTGCTCAGCCCAGGCAATGATTTCTGCTACCTGTAAGTGAATCATAGATCTTGCTCCTCTTTGCTAGACACTCAATTACCAGACTCCCTTGCAGCTAGGGTGGTTGGATGGTCCAGTTCTGACCAATAAGACAAGTGAAAGTTTAGTTGGAGGCTTCTGAGAAAAAGCATTTGATTTCCAAATGTGAGATATACCCTTTTATCTGCTTGGAAAAGACCAAGGGAATGATAAGGATGCCAATTTTCAATTTTCAGTATCATTAGTAAGAAACAAAAAAAACCTATATTAGCTAAACCAGAGGTCAGCAACAAATCTAGCGCACTATTTTTGTAAATAAAAGTTTTATTAGAAAAAGGCCTATTTATTTATATATTACCTATGACTTCTTTTAACAGAATTTAGCAGTTGCAACAGAGACCAAAAAGACCTCAAATCCTAAAATATTCATTATCTGGACCTTTAAGAAAAGATTTTCTGATCCCCATTATAAGCCAGTTAGTTTAGTCTCCATTATTTGTTAACCATTATGGTTTGGATCTTAAATGTCCTAAAAAGCTCACATGTTGAAGGCGTGATCAATAGAAAGTGGTGAAAACTTTAGGAGGTGGGGTCTACATGGTAAGTCACTCACTGGGGTGTGACCTTGAGGGACATATTGGAACTACAGTGCCTTCCTGTCTTTTTGTTGCTCCTTGGCAGCTGAGTTCCACAGCCTTGCTCTACCATGCATGACCTTTCATGATGTGCAGCCTCATGCAGGCCCAAGGGATGGGACCAAGAAACCAGCAACTGAAACCATGAACAAAAATAAACCTTTCTTCTTTTCAAAAAACTAACAGAGCAACTAAATTCATTTCTAACTGATGTGAAGGTCTTGGTGACGAGTAAAATAAAGCAAAGCAAAAAGAAAAAAAAATTGCCCACTAGTGCCCTGTTCTAGCTGGGTTAAGATGATGCACTTTGTCCACACTGGCCAGCAAGATGGTATTTCAGCACAAAAGGTGCTCGTGTTCTGCCCTGTGAACTCACCTGTTTGGTGTAAATGATAAACCACTGCCAGTGATTATCTTCACTGTATTGAAATCTGAGTTCTAAGTTCTGGTTGAGAGTTCGCTGGGGCCCATCCATATCCAGCAGAGTCCCCTACAGAGGAAAATAGATATTATTTGATATTCAATAGAAGTTGAACTGCCTCTTAATGTGCTGGGCAAAACATCAAAATGAGCAAGGCCATCTCTGTATCCAAGAAGCTATTAGTCTATCGATGGGCCATGAAAGTAAATCATCATAGTGTGGTAGCTATGGTGTTATTGAGGAAGCAAACAAAGACCTATAGACGGAAAGAGCATGGGCACCTAGGCCAGGTTAAGAGGGTAAAGAAAGACTTCCCAGCCGGGAATTTAGCTCAGCAGTTCGGTGGCCTGCCTTGCAAGCACAAGGACCCGAGTTCAATCCCCAGTACCCCCCCAAAAAAGAAGGACTTCCTGGAGGTTAGGACGTTGAAGCAGCAGTAGGAGTATCTGAGTTTGCTGTGGTGGTTTTGTTTTTAGAAGGGAAGGTGACAGGTGGCAAAAATAGCAGGTGCAAATGAACTGGTGCCTGAGGAGTCTGGAAATATGTGTTCAAGATACTGTGAGTGATGGGGTGAGTCTGCAGCAACAGCTCTATTGTATGGAGACTGGGGAGAGGGGCTCGGGAAAAAAGGTAGGGCCAGATCCTGAAAGTCTAGTAGACTTTTAAACTGAAATGTGTGCTGTTCAGCACCTATCCCACTTTCCCCTTGTGAAAACCATTCCTCTTCCTCTGCTGGCTATCTATGGAGGACTTTCAAGGAATGACAGGTCAGTAGTGGCATATGGTCCACACTGAGGGCAAGTGGACAAATACTGTCTGGGCCCCTCATTTGACTACAGAGTTGCGAGACCCAGAGAACAGGTCCAGATGGAGTTCTTATCTCCTAGACACCCTGAGCTCCTTTGGTTCCTGATTTTCTGAGGCCTCTGCTTTAGCTTTTCCTTTGAATGTATGTTATTCCATTTCCTTCCACTGATCCCTTCCTTTTGCTAGAGTAAGATATGTTGGTTTTTGTTGCTTACCACCAAAGAGCCCAACTCTCACAGGCTTTATAAGCTAGGTTAAGAATGTCAAACTTTATCCTGAGGGCAACAGACTTTCACTAAGAGATGTTAAAGGCTAGATAATAATAATATGAGACTTATATTTTAGAATGATTGGTCTGACAGTATCAGTATAGAAAACGAATTGAGCAATGGCTGTTTTAAGACATTGAATAACACATAATGCCAGAGGACAGGAAAACAAATGAAATCAGCCCACAATTAACCCATATTATTCCTTGAAGGAGTTTCCAGGAGGTAGTACAAGGAAAGGGAACTCAAACAGAGGCCAGAGCCCAGAGCTTCTGTTGAGTTGAGGAGAAAGAGATGAAAGTTAAAGTTGTTGAGGTTAAAATTTATGGAGCAGAATACCACAAACTCCAGAGAGCTCCTCACAAATCTTTGGCTGAATAATGATCTGGGCATGTGTGGAATGAAACTTCTTTAAGCCAGGAAAAGAGCCACTAAAAAGCAGTGAGCTGACCAAATTCATAAGTTTGCAGACAAGGCTAGAAAGAGCTTATGTTTCCATCAGCTGGAGAAGAGAGGCCACACTGGGCCAGAGGTTGGGTAGAGGGAGAATAAAGGTAGCTTATAAGAACAGCGCTAAGTAAGCTCCAGACTAAAGATTTCTCTGAGCCTAACTTACGAAAGCTTAACAGAAAACGTCAAACAAACAAACAAACAAACAGATAAATAAATGCAATCCCAAGTAACTTAACTGGGTGGGAGAACAAAGTAATCATCTTTAAAGGAACACAACAAAACCCAGCATTCAATAATAAGAGATTCACAATGTTCAGCTACCACAAAATACTACGTGGCAAGCAAAGGAGAAAGAAATATGATCTGTAAACAGGAGAACAATCAATCAATAGGAACAGATTTGGAAGTAATAAAGATGAAGGAATTAGTAGCCAAAAATATTAAGTTACAGTCATGCATCATTTAATGATGGAATGTTCTGAGAAATTCACCGTCAAGCAATTCTATCACTCAGTGGTGATCATGGAGCACACTTATGCAAACCTAGATGGTACGTATTCTTTTGGGGGGATTTCTGGGAATGTAAATCATGTTAAGCGTATGCTCCACTGCTGAGCCACACGCTGGTCCCCAAGTCTACTCAACGTGGCCTCTTGATATAAGCAGGAGACATAGTATAGACATGAGATTATAGGCTGTTGCCTGTGTACACAGAAGGCTGGTCCACAGTAACATTTGTTACAGAATTTAAAAGTGCACTCTAATGAAAAAATTATAGTAAAATAAATGGGCCAGTAACTTAGTCTTTTATTATAACTCTCAATTGCATATGCTATTTTTACATGACTGGCAGTGCAATAGGCTTATTTATACGAACATCACCACGACATGTAATGCATAGTGCTGGGATGCTACAATAGCTACTTCACCAGGAAATAGGAGTTTTTATCAGACCTCTACTGTATACACAATATCACTGTACAGTATGTGTGAGGACAGAGGTGGTGAGTGTGTGGACACAAGAATTTAGAGAGCCAGTCATGGTAGCACACACTACCCAGCACTCAGGAGGCTGAGGCAGGAGGAATGCTGTGAATTCAAGGCCAGCCTGGGTTACAAAGTAAGTTCAAAACCAGCTTAATCTAGATAGGGAGACTCTATCTCAATAAACCAAAAAATAAATAAATAACTATAAAGGAATTTAGAGAAAAATAAGCAAAAGGAGGGAAATGGAAGATATAAAAAGAACCCAAGTGGAACTTTCAGAGATGAAAAATACAACATTAGATGTAAAAATGCACTGGATAGGCTAAACAATATGTTAAAACAATGCAAAAGAAAAGATCACTCAAGATGAAGCTTATGCAGAAAAATAAAACTAAAATTTAAAAAACCATAATGAGATCTCACTTCATACCATTAGGTTGGTTGTAACTTTAAAAACCAAATAAGTACTGACATGAACATGGAGAAACTGGAACCCTCAGCATCTGCTAGGGCAGCCCAAATGATACAGCCAATCTGGACAACAGGCTGATGGTTCCTCTACATGCTAAACACAGAATTCCTATTTGACCCGGTAATTCTTCTAGGTACAGACCCAGGAGAAATGAAGATCTGTGTCCACCCAAAGCTTTTATACAAATGTTCCCTGCAGCATAATTCATTACAGCTGAAGGCAGAAACCGCCCACATCATCAAGGCATAAACAGATACATACAATGGTGTATCTTGAGAGTGGGCTGTTATTTGACCATGAAAAGCAATAAAGTGCTGGTACACATACAATAAAGATAAACTCGGAAACATTACACTAAGTACAAAGCGAGCCACGAAGAGCAGAGACTAGGATCCCAGTACCAGAAAATGTCCAGAATAGGTGAATATATTGTATAGAGACAGAAAGTAGATGAGTTGTTTCTCAGAGCTTCGAGAAGAGCGGTGACAGCTAAACAGCGAGTGGCTTCTCCTTGGGTGGTGGAAGTGCTTTGAAACTGTCTGTGATGGTGGCTGCATAACTCTGGGAATATATTAAATCCCATCCAATCCTTCACTTCATATGGGCAAGTTGTATAGTATATTAAATTATATTTCAATGAAACTGTTACAGAGAAAGAAAAATATTATGTGGTAACGGTGAAGGAATAGACAGATCAGCAGAACAGAATAGAGGCACAAACACGCCTAACAAATATTTTGGGGGGTGCTAGGGATCAAACCCAGAGCCTTGCACATGCTAAGCACATGCTGTACCACTGAGTTACATCTTTTGTCTCTGGAGAAAGGTACAAAAGCAGTTCAACTGAGAAAAGAAATCCTTTTTGACAAATGGTGCTAGAGCAACTGGACTTCTAGAGGTGGAAACTGGTAACTTATCTCAGTTTCTGACCCTATACAAAAATTAATTCAAAGTGAATCATAAACTTAGATGTAAAACACATAACCACAAAATGTAGGAAAAGAAACAGCAGAAAAAAATCTTCATGCTCTAGGGTCTGGCAAGGAGTTCTTGGACTAGAAAGTGAAAGCATGATCCATAAAAAAAAATGAGCTGGATTTCACCAAAGTTAAAATTTTTTACTCTGCAAAACACTCTATTAAGAGGATGGAAAACTTCAGAGAAAGAAATATTTGCAAAACAAATGGCCAACAGATGACTAGCATCTAGAATAAAGAAGGAACTCTCAAAACTCAATAGTAAAAACAAAAAGAAAATAGACTAAAGAAACGGAGACATATTTCACTGGAGGTAAACAGGTGACAAATAAGCACAGGAAAAGATGTTCGACATCAGCTGCCACTAGGAAACTCCAAATCAAAATCACAATGAGATACCATCACACCTACCAGAATGAATGAAATAGAACATAGTGACAATATCAGATGCTCACGCGCGAGGGTGCAAAGAAACTGGATCATTCACCTATTGTTGGTGGGGGTGTATAGTGATACAGCCACTCTCCAAAACTGTTGGGCAGTTTCTTAAAAAGCTAAACATGCAATTACCATATGAACCGGCAAGTGCACTCCTGGGCATTTGTCCCAGAGAATTCAAGATTTATGCTCAGACAAAAGCCAGTATATGAATATTTATAGCAGCCGTTGTCATAATAGCGAAAAACTGCAAATAACTAGATGTTCAATGGGTGAACAGTTAAATAAATTTTAGTACACCCATAACACAGACTACTATCCGTAAAAAGAAACAATCTAGTGATCTATACAGTAATCTAGATGAATTTCCGAAGAATTGTGCTATGAAAAAAGAAAACCAATCTCTAAAGCAATTGATACAGACAGGCTACTCCACTCCTCAGGAGAAGAGTTTCTTTTCAAGTGCATGCAGAACATTACCAAGAGAGATCATGTTTTTTTACCATAAAACAAGTTTCCATTGTTTAAAACACATTGAAACTCTACAATGTATTTTCTCTTAATCTAAAGGGGAAAAGGAGACTGGGGAAAAGAGAAGAGCTAGGAGGCTGTTCAATCTTTGCGGGGAGGGAACGCTGAGATCAAGCTGTGAAGGCGGAGAGAAAGGGAAGTTTTGAGGCATGACAAGGAAGTAGATTGGATAGGTCCCCATCAGCACTTAAATGTGTAGGATGAGAGAGGAAAGTCAAAGGTCCTTTCCATATTTCTAGATTGGCAATCAGGACGTGATGGTAGAAGGCCTTTGGCAAGACAGAATATGCAAGATACAGGAAGGAAATGGGACAGGCACACGAGTTTGCCACATTGGTGATGGCCCTGGGGAAGGTGGCCAGACACAGCAGGGACACTGGGCCTCTGAGAGGGGCCTGGGGGATTGACTTCAGAGAACAGGTAGAGGAAGGGTGCTAGGAAGGGAGCCCCAGGAAACACTAGCACTTCAGAAAGGCTCAGAGGTAGAAGTGCCCCACAAAAGCAGGGGAGGAAGGAGAGGGAGTTTGGGAATGGAGGAAAGGTGAACAGTTTCAAATGCTAGAGAAAAGCCAAGTCCTGGGTCAGTTAACAATTCCCGTGGGGGTCCAGGTAATTCCAGTTAAACCCACTGTCAGAATTAACCAGTGATACCTCAGTTCGTGAACTTGATTCTTTCCACAATTCCGGTCACAAACTGAGTTGGACAGAAACTGAATCAAATTCAGTGATTAGGTTCAATGTTGACCTTATGGGGAAATTTGATTTTGGTTCTCATCCTGTTCAGTTTGCAAACAGAATCATGGACAGCACTGAGTTCGTGAACCGAGGCACCCCTGTAATGGGTGTGGCAGTGCTCAAGCACAGCACTGCGTATAAAGTAGGCATCGGTAAATCTGATCGTGAAGGTTTGTCTTGCAAGGAGAGGCCAACGTAAGCATGATGCAAAGGCTCCTTCAGAAGGCTCTGCTGGTCAGCATTCAGTGTCTCCGCAGCACCAAGCACATGGTAAGCGCTCAGTCAATGGTGCAGTTATCACCACCTGCCGTTATTTCTCTAACTGCCCTTCAAGCAGGAGAGATCCTGTTGATGGAAGGAGGAAGACTGGGGCTTCTGCTGTCCCGGATGGGGGACCTGCACCAACTACGCATGGCATTTACCATTAGGTGATGTTTAGTGTGGCTTACTTGCCTCTCCACTCGAGGCAATTTCAATGTCAAACCCGCCTCCCTAGTGCCAACTCTGTCCCCGCAAGAGCAGCAGGATTTTAAATCATGGCCAAAGCAAGGTGCCAAGATACTCACAAGGAAAGTGACCTGCCAGCACTTCACGCTGCTCATCTGGAGGATGACATCCTGTGTCCGGCTGTCAGGCAGGGTCACGCAGCAGCAGATCTCATCTTTGCCAACAGAGAGCACAGCCCCACAGCCTGGCTCTGGGGAATCACAGCGGCAAGGATCCAGCTGCATGTATCCATAGCACTGCACCTCCCGGCACAGCTCCAGGAACTGCTCCAAGAAGGAAACAAAAGACCACTCAATACCCATGCGAACCTCAAGTGAGACGCGCTGCTCCAGGAGGACATGTGGGATTTGCTCACGGGCACGGCCCTTTCTGCTGAGCCGCGCAAAGGAGGATGATGCCCAATGCCCGAGGGACTGAGCAAGCCCCAGGAAGGCCGTGGTGTGCCTGCCGTGGCTGGAGCCATCCCTGCCTAGCTCATCATCAACTGTGTCCATGCCTGCACAGGGGGAGAAGGAAAATATCCAGGAGGGAGTGAGAAAAAAGAGTGGTGTTGAATAAAACAAATGGGTAGAGATGATTTTATCTCAGCGACATAAAAGCGTATATTTAAAATACCATCCTTTAAAAAAACTCAGCTGAGATCTATGTAGGAGGAAAAGTAGTTCTTTTTCACTTTCGCAAAGGAGGATGATGCCCAATGCCCGAGGGACTGAGCAAGCCCCAGGAAGGCCGTGGTGTGCCTGCCGTGGCTGGAGCCATCCCTGCCTAGCTCATCATCAACTGTGTCCATGCCTGCACAGGGGGAGAAGGAAAATATCCAGGAGGGAGTGAGAAAAAAGAGTGGTGTTGAATAAAACAAATGGGTAGAGATGATTTTATCTCAGCGACATAAAAGCGTATATTTAAAATACCATCCTTTAAAAAAACTCAGCTGAGATCTATGTAGGAGGAAAAGTAGTTCACTTTTTCACTTTTTTATGTAATGTTGGTATTAGTTGTCAGAGAAAAGATTTTGGAAATGGCAATGAAACAAGGCGAGTAGGCTGCATCCTAAGGACGGCTCCAGGCAGCCCCTGGATGCCAAAGGGAATGTTTTTTAAGTCACTTTGAAATGTGGCCTTCCATCTCTGAAATGATCTAAGAACTGAGGACGTTTGCAGTTCACACCGTGGTCCCAAAGCTCATCCTGTTAGGACGGGACTGGGACTTTTCATTTTTAAACTAAGCCTTACCATTAGTAATTGCATTTGGATAAAGCTGCTGATGGTTTGGTGACTCTGCCTTTGTCCCTGCAGCCTCTGCTGTGGTTCTGCCTTAATGGGGTGTGAGATGTGTGTGGAGACAGCAGAGTTGTCACTTCAGCACGTGGTTAAATCAGAAAGGCCACACTGCTCAGTGACAGCCTTGCTCTTTTCCGACCCTTTCTTGAAGCCAGGTGACTTGGTCTCCCTTTCAAGGACTATGTCAGATGCTCTCTGATAAAGTGAAATCGAAATGTACCAACACAAAAGCAGCGACAGCACGGCCTTGATCTCTCACTGCTGGCTGGACACCTGTGCGTGCAGCTGTGCCCTTGTGTGCCGTGTTTCTACTGCTCACCTCCAGCACTCCAGAGCAAAGCAGCCTCAGATAACTTATGAGAGTGACTGTGTACCAATAAAACTTTATTTACAAAACCAAAGTCCCATAGTTAGCTATCCCTAATATAGATCAAATGATTTGTCTTGGAGTTAATTTCACTCATTTTCAACTACTTCAAGTTTTACTGTACGAGTACACAAAATAAAGCAATAGTTGTTTATATATTTGCTCCACTGGCAGAAGAACCGCACAAACAAATACTTTGGGGAATCACTACATATAGACTTTTTTGAGGGAAAACAAGTTAATTTCAATAATGATTCAATTTAAAAATTTAATTCACATATTCAAAGTAGTCTTTAGGAGATCATCCACATGTCATATGGCAAATTCAGATAACATATTTATCATAGAAGATCGATTTTTGTTGTATACAAAAAATACACTCATTTTGGAAAAGCCAAGCAGCACTGTAAAACCAGTGTTCACAGCCCATCAAAATAGAAGCTGTATTTGTTAAAATTTACAAACACAGACAAATTATACTTCAAACTGTTTGTGACAAAGCTGAGATGGAAACCCAAGGTTTTAGGGGTTACTAAATCATGGCAGTATGTGCCTTTCCCTTTATTTCCTTTTTTCCTTTTCTCTTTTCTGTCCTATAAAAATCTCAAAATGTCTGAGCCTTTGAAGAATGACTTCCAAATTAACCTAAGTATAAATGAGTCCTCTAAATGTTTTGTCACATTTTGTTCAAAATCAATGCTGTGGTTGCCAACACTGGCGAATGAAAAAAGGCAGCACAGGAGGCCAGGCCCGTTTCTTGGGTTAAATCCGTCCAGTCCGCCAGACTCATATGTGCTGCTTGCAGGCGGGAGGTTTATTGGTTGGTACCACCTTTATGAAAGCTTTAAAGTGGATATTTAGAAATAGCTCCTTAAGAAAACAGAGCACAGACTCAAATGTGGAGATGTTGGCTGCAGGGTCTGGGGGAACTGTGCCAGGTGTAGGGGACACAGAGAGTGTATAAATGAGACACAGTCTTGGGCCTCATGGCACTTACCGCCAGATTGATTTATTGCAGTCAAAGCTATAAAAAATCTGACTTCCAATAATGGTAAGCTATCAAGCTAAATTATAACACAACCACATAATGGAACACTCCAGAATCATTAAAAATATTGTGGAGGATCTATATTAATTAACTTGGCAAAGCACTCATAATATACCATATTTCTTAGAATCTCTTAAAAAGGTCTTTCTTAAGTCTCACAAGAAAAAGTCAGTGAAGGTATTTTCATGTTTAAAAAGAGCCTCACTGTTATGGTTTGAAAGGTTTATAAATAATAGCAACAAAAAAATAATAATGACAACTCACTTCTAACGTTTCTTGAACTCCCTTCCAAGGGATGTCTCGGTATAATATTTGACTCACCTTGGTTTGATTGTTTTCTTTCTGAAGAGCCTCTAATTCCTGCCTCTGTCCCTGTGTGGGCTTGATCCATTCTTTCTCAATGTCCTGCATTGCCTTAAAACAGCATAAATTGTACAACCAGCAACCTTAACAGAAATGAATTATCTGACAAAACAAATGCATGTACGAAGGGCTATAAAAACAGACCAAAGTGCATCCATATAATGAGTTAGCATGTTATAAAGGTCGCTTTTTAAATTAGTGGGCAGGAGAAGATTGTCTGACAATTTTGGGGCAACTGATAACATGTAGCAAAGAAATAAAATTAGCCCTTTCCTTACATCGCCCATCAAAATAATTTCCACAAAAGTTAAAGATTTAATTATTAAAAAACCATAAATGAACTAGACAAAAAAGATAAAAATATTTATCTGATGTTGAGGTGGAGATTATCTTTTTTAAGATATAAAGACAAAATGTATGAGGAAGGAATGATCACATGAAAATACAAATTTCTACATCTACAAACCACAAAGAACAAAAGAAGCAGATGGTAAAAATGAGGAAAATAACTGCACCATGTGTGACAATGAGTTAATATTTATAGAAAGGAATAAAAAATATAAAATCCTCAACAGGGAAATGGATGAAACCATACAGCGGCATTTGACCAAAAGGAATTCCAAATGACAAACATATATTTAATCTCACTGGTAATATAATGATTTTTTTTCTCTTGAATTGGCAAAAGCTAAAACATACAACTAGAATTGATAAAGGCTTGGGGACACGGAACATTCTATGTAGGAGGGATGGATTTGATTGGTTCAGCTTTCTAGAGATAATTTGGCAATACAAATCTGAACCACCTACAAGAATCATAAACTCAGATATGTGGAAAATAGATTGATAGAGGTGTTACTACCGTGTTTTTGTGTAACAAAAAATTTTCACCTCATTAATAGGGGCAAAACTAGACACCATCTTCCTTCTGTATCCACAGATTCCACATCCATGGGTTAAACCCACTGTGGATAGAAAGTATTCAGGAACTGTATCTGTACTGAAACATGTACAAACTTTACCCCTGTCATATGCAATAAGTTTAACAATTAATTTACACAGCAACTTCATCGTATCTGGCATTAAAAATAATATAGAGATTATTTAAGTTATATAGGCGGAAGTGTCAGGTCATATGGAAATACTACTTCGCTGTATAGAAAGGACTTGAATACCCTTGGATTTTGGTGTCACAGGGGGTCCTGTTCCAAACCCCTATGGAGACTGGAAGGATGAGTGTATAGCATTTATTGTGGCTCAGGCAATGTTCTAATGCTTAAAACAAAGTCAATGCTACCATTTCCCTGTGAGGTAGGTGCTGTCATAAAATATCCAAAAGTAAGTCATTGAATTTTCATATAACCAAATATCTCATATAACCAAATAATACATAATGCTATCATTAAAAAATATAGAGAATATTTAACAACATAGGGAAAATTTAACGACATGCTAGGTGTTGATATGTGAAAAGAATATCAAGTTACAAAAAAGTATAGATCTCAATTTTTCCAAAATGACAAAAAATATAAAACAAACCTTGTTCACATAGTTATGAATCAAAGAAATGGATGTGCATATAAATGAAATATATATATATAGTAAACACACCAAAAAAGTTAACAGTCTAAGGATAGCTGATTGGGTGATTCAAAGTCTGGGGTGGCGTTTACTTCTGTTTTTGAGTCTTCCATATTTGAAAATTTTTTTATAAGATGAAAACAAACTTAGCATTAAAAAATCAAAATAGAATGTATTGTTGGGCCCTGTCTGCTTGACTTTTGCTAAGTGCTTTCGGCAAATGTTTCCAAACTCCAAATTCCTAATGGGCTTCTTGGCTGTTTCCTAAACTGTCACAGATTTCAGCAGAGCAACACTGGGCTCAAAGGCAGGAATCACCTGGAGGCCAGTGGTCCCTGAGGAAGCCGTCAGGATCCTTCTGAAGCCAGATGAAAAGCTGAAGTAATGAAGCCCGCGGGCGCAGCTGGCCTGCCCTGCTCCCACCACCTTTTCCGTGCACAGCTCCTCTTCTGGCACCCAGCACTTATGCCCCTGAACGAGCCTGGCAGGGGGGCTCTGGCATGGGCTGACAAGTCAGTCGTCAGCTGCACACGGGGAGCCGGTGCCCTGTGATTCCCCCTGACTGGAAAGAGTGTACCCTGGCTCCTCAGTGAGATTGTCAACCCTCGCGGGAAGAACACGTGCCCTTCACTCAGTGTCCCACAGCCAGACCGCACTCAACAGTCCTGTGCTTCCGTCCACCTCAGTCCAAACAGAAGTCCGTGTCACGTCCCTCAGTGATGCTCGTAGGGAGAATGGAAACTAAAATGTTGTTGACACTGCTGTTCAGGTTGGGGGAAGGGGACATGGGATTTAGAAAACAGAAGAAAAATAATACATGTTAGGAATCTGCTTTAGATAGGTTTTCTCATTGACTTTTTCCCAACTGTTTTGTGGGATAGGAACAATTACCACAGATGGGTAAATTGAGGCCAGGAGAGGTTTATGATCAAGGTGACCCAGAAAGTAGGTGGCAGGAGTTAGATCCAAGCTGGGTCTGGCCACTACACCAAGCCCTCCTAGTCTTGCCCAAGCTGCTGTTCTTTTTCCAAGTGGGCAGCTACCCACCCTCCAGCTCTCTGTTTGTCACCACCTCTCCTCCAAAGTGAACTTGAACCCCTTGCCAGGTTGGAATCAGAGAAAGCATGAAGAACTGAACACCTTTATACTTCCTGAATTCTGCTTGATGCTAGAGCCTGTAAGGACTATCAGCACAGGACAGTGATGTCAAAGAGGAGGCCTCACTAAACAAATAAGATGTGGTGGTCCAGATACATCAACTTGAGTGGATGAAGGAACGCCTGGCAGATTAGTAAAGTGATGTCCTTGCTGTGTCTGTGGATGACTGACAAGTAGGCCAGCAAACTGAGGGTTGAAGACACATCCTGAATATGGGTGGCACCAACCAATAGGATTGTAGCATGAATGGAATGCAAAGGGAAAGAAACATGTCCATTTCTGAAGAGCTCTGGTCTTCACCATTGCCTTTGGACGTAAGTATCCAGTTTCTTCAGCCTTCCAGCGCAGACTCACAATGGCTCCACCTTGGACTGGTGCGGCAGCCATGATCTCTCTTGTTCTACAGATTTCATCTTCTTGGGCTGAGCAGCTACTGGAAAGTCAAGCCCTCTAGCACACAGATGGCCACCGTGGACTCTGTGGCCTCTGATCCTGTAGCCCTACCTACTAAATCCCCTTGTATAATTATACATATATTTTCTGTTGATAATGTTCCTCTAGAGAACTCTAATACAGAAGATGACCAGCAATTGTGACAGTAAGATTAACCTAAGACTTATTGCACCAGAGGACTTGAGATGCTCAAACACTGAAATATAAATGCTCTACAGAAGTAACACAGCCAAGGTCTTCATGAGCTTCAGTCACACACGTCCCAGTGCCCTCTGCAGAAAGTATGGTCGTGAGACATGGGGCTATGGGTCCCTCCAAGAAAGGAACCACCACTGGGCTCTGGCCAGTTGAAATATGGCACAGGATGGCAGAGAACATGGCTTGGCACAAGAGCACTGGGCTGGGGGGGTCCAGCAGCCAGCACTTTCCCCACCAAAGCACAGGGCCCGTCACACAATGAGGCTACCTGGAGAAAGTCACCTCTTTTTCTAATTTGCCCAAAGTTCCTTTGTATATCAGTGGTGGCCCTGCTGAAATGTATGCCCGGAATTGACCAAATCTTTGATATTTTTGAGAAAACACAGAAATCTATACTTTTATCTACAATCCCCCATTTTGCTAATGTCCCTCAAGTTTAGAAAGGAGGAGGAAAAAGCTTCCACCTCAGGCATTGTTGGGTATACCTGTATTAGAAAAATCAAAGGGTAACTCTTGAAAGTGAATTATGAGAACTCTGTTAATTATCAGAACTCATAAGATTTTCTTGCATTAATGCCTTAAAGGATGACTATCACTCACTCATATGTGAATGTGCTAGGCAACCAGGACTGAGGAGGAATGAGAGGCAGGCTGGCTAGGGAAAAGTGTACATGAACCTACTTACTGACAATGACAGGTGAGAAGCGAAATCCCACAGGAGCAGAGGAAGAGGGGCACTTTCTTTCAGTGGGAACCAAAGAAGGCTTCCCAAAGTGGGCAGCGGATTGTGGTCCTGGCTCTCCTGCTGACCTTGGGCCAAACTTTAGACCTCTCTGTACCTCTACGTGGATTCGGAGGATAAAGATGATGGCCAAGGTTATTATAATAGCAACTACAGTTTTTGGAAGATGCTGCCATAGAGTGAGATAAGATGTGAAAAACAGCCTGTGAAAGCTGGGAGAATAGAGACTATTCATTCAACCTCTGTGGGGGCAACATGGTGGTTCAGAGGAGGACGTGGCTGACCCAAGACCATGCAGAGAGAACGTGGTGGTAGGCAGAGTAAAGGACAGAATTCACTTTTGAAACTTATTGTTCAGTATGCTTTTTCTCAAAGCCATCTTTTTGTCTAGCTATGGCACAGGACATACCATCATTTCTCTCTGGTTTACAACTCCTAATGACACATGAAAATCATGCTATGATCCTGGAAGTCCTAATCTCTCATCACAATGAGAACTGGAAGCCAAGCCACAAAGACTATGTTTCCCTCAAGAACAATGTGGTAGGCGATGTGTATTTCAACCAAGGATGTGATCTCAGATGAACCAGACACAACTGATGATGTATTATAATAGCAAGCATACAATGGCAATGAGGTTCAGTAAACATTGAAAATGGTAAGTTCTGTTCCAACTCATATGGCATGCTCATAAGTACACTGAACATTACTACGCATGGGTAAAGTATAATAGGAAATGAACTCAAGCTACAGACTAGTCATCACAATGCAATAGAAAATTAAACATTTAATATGTGATATTTTGATTTGTCTCAGAAGAGCTTTGTGGTCATGACTTATTAGTGGTCCTGGTTTCCTAAGTCACCTAAGGAAATATTCACCCAGTCTCTTTCCTTCCTCTGCCCTCTGCTATGTGGAATCATCAAAGTCCATCCCGGACTGTTCAGCCACAGCCACAGCACTTTGGCAGGTATTATTAATGTTTCCTGTTGCCTTGAAGAGCTCATTAAAAGTAATGACTCAACCAGAATCTCTCCCCTCTTTGATTCTTCCCTCCACGTACATAAGAGCTACCTGCATAGAAGTATTGTCAGACTCTCCGTACATCCTCTAGACACCCAAGAGAGAACTACTCCATCCTCTGCCAGCAAAAGTGATTTTTCCCTTTTCTAGAAATGTGGAAGGTACCACATCTCTCACAAAGTTATTATTAAGTTTCAGTGAAACAATGCCAGGCCCACCATGAGGCTTAGTGACCATTGTGTGCCAGGAACAGTTCTAAATCCTGGGGATCCAGCAGTGGGATATGAACACCTCGTTTCACAGAGAAATCATCCTAGCTGGGACAGACAAGAAAACATGCATGGGTAGCCACATCCACAGTCAGTCAGTCAGTGGACACGCTCAGTGGTGGTGGGGAGAGGAACAAGGACCTGGGGAATTGGGTTTAACTGAGCCTTGGCAAGAAATTGACCCACAGTGCTGCTGGCACCGAGGACAGAGTGAGGGAGCTTTCCTCCCTTCCATAATCACACAACAGGCCCAGCAATGTCAGGTCTTTGAGGACAGTGACCCAGGGCTTGGGAACACTTGGGGCATCGCGGAAGCAGACGGAGAGCTGAGGAAAGGGTCCACAGCACGGTCGGGGCAGAACTGCTGACCATTCACTGACAGGCAGGGACTTCCCCATGAGAGGCAGAGGAAGGGAAAGGACTCTAATTCTCCTTTCCTGCAGGTTAGTGGGTAGGGAGGACCAACTACGTGACTGACAGGGCTTAGCGCAAAGTGGAAATGTGGGGTTCCTTCTGTAAAAACTATTAAGAATAGAATTTCAAGGTAATTTGACAGCAGAGCATTAAACAAGTCCACGGCTCAAAGCAACTGCAGAGGCCACATGCTCATGAAGCCGGCCTAGAGTAGGTGGCCGGCTGCCTGTTGTTCCAGAAAAAACAGGTTATGTTAGAGTAAAACTAGAAGTCATATGTAACCTATGCTATCAGTGACATCTCTTCTAGGGCTGTCAAACCAACCTAGATAAGTGATGGTGAACCTTTGAGAGCCTTCAATGATAACAAACTGCCCACTCCCCTAGATGATAAAAGCGTCACCTACAAATTCAGAGTGGTGCTTAGAATAGAGGGAGAACTCATTTTTCCTCTTTCCTAACTCCTCTACTTTTATTTTTACTTTTTAAATTGTGATAAAATACATACAACATCACATTGATCATCTCGCCCGTTCACACACAGATGAGGAGGCAGTAGATATGTCCACAGTGTCACACAACCTTCACCACCATCCATACAAAGCTTTTTCATTATGGCCCACAAAACTCTGTACCCAGGACACAGTAACTTTTCCTTTTCCTCTCCTCCATCCCAGCTATCCTAGTGTTCTCTCTCTCTCTCTCTCTCTCTCCCTCTCCCTCTCTCTGTGCCTCTGCCTAGTCTAGGAATGGAGATAGACTTTTAAGTATTATCATCTTTTAAAACAATTCCAAACCAAACAGCTTCTAATGCATGGTTTGCTCACCTGCATGTAGAGCAATTCCACGGCCGCTCTGCAGCCCATCAGCACAGAGTCGAGGGCTGGGTCCATGTACCTGCATGAGGCAGGAGCATTACGTGACTTCAGATGCCTTGGCCAATGGCACACCTGGGTCTCCTCTAACAAAGCCCCAACCTGCCCCTCCTAGCCTTCATTTCTCCCTCCACCTCCTCTGCATCCTGTCTTGATGCCGTGGGCTCTTACTTGGTGGGCTCTGAGAGTAAACAAGCGAAAGCACAAAGCTTTTGGGGAATGGCCTGCATTTCTGTTCACACCCAGCCGCACTCTTGGCCAGCACATCCTGGATGCCCCTTGCCTGGTGCACAACCCCTGGCATGGTTACCTGTTCCACAGGTACCAAGAACCTACTCATCACCCTATGTGCAGCCACCTTTATCTCCAGCTAGCGCTGCCCCGAGAGTCTGCCCCCAGGGCTCTGCCTCACCCTCACGAATTCCACCAGAGGGGCCCTCCAGAGATTCTGAGCTGGGGGTGGATCATGTACCCTGTTTGCTTCTGAGGCCCTTCGTGGGTGGGACCAGCATGCTTCCTTTGCACCAATTTCTTACAATCCCGTGCCCATCTCTGCAGTCCATTTACCTGTGCTTTCTCTCCTCTTCTGCCTGGAAGGCCACCTCCTCCCTGTGCTCCTCCCCTGACTTACCTGCCCATCTTACCTGACCACCAGCCTCACCCCACAGGCCCTCCTCTGGTCCCTGCTTCTCAAGGCTGTGTTAGCAACCCACCCTCTGTGCCTCCCAGCACCCTGAATTTCTCCTAGTCACTGCTCTGACCAAGTTTTCTTGGCACCAGCTGTGAAGACCCCCGATCCCTGATCAGAAGTTGCTTCTCTGGGTCCGCAACTTCTGGGTCTTGGCAGATTGACTTGTATAGTAAGGGCTCCTTGTCTGCCTATCAGAATCAGCACAATAAGCTGAAATTCACAACTATGCCAGCCCCACTGCATGCTGAGAATGGACAGATAGAGACAGTTGGCAAGGGTGTGCCAAGGCTGGTTGACACCCAGCCACCAGCAGAGGCAGGTAGCAGCTGCACCCAGTGGTACAGGGTGACTGGATCAACAAGGTTGACTCAGACCAGAGGAAGGGTGAAAACTGAATCAGAGGGCAACTTCATCTTGGGAGTGGGGAGAAGCAAAGAAACATTCCTATCCCTTTTTATGTAGCTATTTGCCTACACCCCAGGGGCCTCTGGACCCAGAGAATAGCGACTATGGCACCAGCGAGCTGGAGAGACCTAGGTCCATCTGAGGCTGGGCTCGGAGGGCCCAGAGCAAGCACCGTCCAGCCTGGAAGGAACTGTTTCATCATTGGAGAGATGCACTCAGAGACATCAGGGAGGAGAAAAATCCTTAAAGCTCTGCTGGACTCCTGAAGCTCTTGGAACTGATTGGCTCCCAGCCAGTTAGACCTCTCTGGAAAAGGGATGCGACACCACAGGATGCTACACCAGGCTGTGCACTTCCGAAGACCTGACCTTCCTCACCAGCAGGAAGTGGGCCTCTCTTCTCTCTGTGCCACGAGCAAAGGGACAATCTTCCTGGATTCAGATGCTGGCTTGTGGGAGAAGATGTTTTATCTTGCACTTATCATCCAGAATCTGCCTATTTAATGAAGACAAAGGCAAAACCTAATGCCTAGTTTAAGCTTCAAGGCCATGGCTCACCTCACCTTTGATCTTAAGAGCTCACGAGAATGAATGAAAAGCCTCAAACTCAGGGATTTTTTTTGTTGTTGTTGTTACTAGAATCATTATCATCAATATGACAATGATAAGCATAACCAAAACAGACTTACTTTATAGGGTTACTCACAATAATCCTAGGGAGTAGACATTAACTATTATTTATTATTACAATTTTTGTTCTCCCTTAGGAAGCACATATACTAAAAAAAAATGGCACAATATTATTGCAATTTTATAGATAAAGAAATTAAGGCATAGAGGGCTTGAATAAGCTTGACTAGGGCGACAAAGCTAAAATCTGAGCCAGATGGGACTTGGACTCACATACTCTGATCCTAAGAACTGTGCTCTGCTGCTCACTCTTCCAGAACATTCTCCAAACCCTTAGATGGAGTGGAGTCCTCTCTCCTCTCCATGCTCCACGCCACAAGATGTTGACCACTTCTCAGAATACTTCTGATTAACAGTATAACAACCTTGCAGAGAATATCTGTGCAAAATGCAAAGCCCCAACTGGAGCTCTACGAAGCACCACAAGATCAAGTTAACGACCACTCCTAGATTTCAAAATGTCCTTCTTTAAAGCTGCTGTACTCTGATGCTAGACCAACTGGGCTGGGGCAGCAATCCAAGACAGCTACGGTGACAGATGCTGTGATTACAGATTACAGGAAGTGCTGTGCTCCTCACTGGAATTTTCTCATTGTTTTCCATGAGAACTCCTGTTTCTGGGGAGATGACAGTGTTTTCTCCACAGGGGCACTTTAAGGGGCTCCTATCAATGTAGGAGTATGAATGGCCCAGGGACATACACTTTAGGAATATAAAGTGAATATGTAAGGGTTCAAATTCATTGCAAACTGGCTGAGGCCACTCTTGCCTACAAAGAATACCACATTTCAACAGATGAGTCAGATCTGTTTGTAATTACTGTGAAATCTTTCCACGAATACAGGAAGTATCGTCCATTCCACAGCAAGCCCTTGGCCAGCAGCCTCTTGCCATTGCCTGCCTCAGTCCACCCCACTCGCCCTACCATGTCTCAGGCCTGCCCTTTACATTTGCCTCTCAGGGGAGGTGAGGATCGAGGAGTGGAAGTCGTCCTTAGCATTCCATACCTTTCCCCCTCTCTTCCTTGTTACTTTACTCTTAACCTTCCCTCAGGTTCCTGGTTGAGATCTACCCAGATGTGGAGCTGTGGGCGGGATGTGGGGGATTCTAACAAGTTCTGGTCACCAGTGGTTTCTGCCACTGTAAGTACTCACCACTTCCGGAGTCCAACCTTACAGTTTTCCTCTTCAGAACTTCGAAGGCTAACATAAGGGAGTTCAAAATCTGCCAACTTTTTCACAACTAGAGAAAGAGAAAGACAGTCTTACTGGTTCTGTGCACAGAGTTTACATGTAGAAGATTCAAGATGAGAAGGTAAGATATCACCATTAGAAAAAATAAAACTATAGTAAAAAGTATTCTCTTGCACGTGGATGCAATTTTAATTTCTAACATTCATTCAAAAAATGTTATTTCGTTCTTATCAAATCCCAGCCCTGTGGTTAGGATATTTTACCCCGATACAGATGGAGAAATAGGTTCAGAAAGGCCAATACAACACAGCTTCCAGAGCCAACCCACACCCAAACCCCCTGACTTCCAACCCAAAACCACCTGCCAGCCACTCCTTGAGGATACACATAAATTACTTTAAGATACCATTCTCCAGGTAAAAAAAAAAAAGGAACATATTGTTGACAACACACTGGAGAGCAAAGTAATGGCCATGGGAATCAGACTACCAGCTTTCACTCTCTCTTAATACCTCTTTAAGAATCTAGAAACTGTTCTATCCCCGGTACCAAAAAAAAAAAAAAAATCTAAGAACTTGTATATCAGCCACATTTTATAGCAAATATTCTTTGACAAGGAGACACTGTGCTGTGGCAGATGTCCCAATACCTGGCATCTAACACTTCTCTACCAGGAGGCTGTGGCACGGCGGGTGGCCAGACCCAGGGCGAGGGTGAGAGGGACTGGGGTCGGGACCGGCACACTCAATGGGATGTCAGGCAGCTTTACTCCTGACCTCAAGGCTGCTTGTCCCTGCCCACTCTGAACGAACACATGACCTTCCCTTCCCCCAAACCTCTGATTCGGGGCTGAAGACACTGGTCCAAGGACCACAGCCTGGGTGGGTGATCAGCCCCCGAGTTGAGACTCCCGAATCTCCACACCTCTGCCTGTTCCTGCCCGCCCTACCTCCTGGCTGCCCTCGTAGCTCTTACCAGACAGGCTGCCCTCCTTGTAAAACCGAATGAGAAAGAGGCCGAAGTAGCCCAAGAGCTCCCAACTCAGTCCGAGTTTGCGTGACACCACCTTAAACCAGAGACAAGCGGAAGGAGGACCGTTAGGATGCCAACCACCCTCCCTGACCGTGACATGCAGAGGGGGAGTGATCCGGACACATCAGTACCAAGTGTTTGCACAGGCCACCTGGAATCCTTTCTTTTGGGGAATCTAAAAACGGTACATACTCATTTTAGAAAACTTAGAAATACAAAAAAAATTACAGTGAAGAAAATTATAACCAGTTCCACCACGATGGACCACCTCCCCAGAGGCACCATCCATCCTGGTGCTCAGTGTCCCTGGAGGGAACAGCCATTCTCTATAAATGCCTGTCCTCCTGTCACATCTGCCCAGGGGCCTGCACACCAGCTCACCTTCCTGCAGGCTGGATTACCAGACACCGCTACTCAGCTAGCGTACAAAAGCGCATGAGCCCCCACCTGCCCCGACACCCACAGGCCTACTTCTGGTTGATGCTCCTTGCAATGTGCAAGTGTGATTTACTATGACATTTGTTCTGTGAAAACTTCAGATCCCAGGCATGGGCTGCCTCCTTCTGTGCTCTTCTCTGATGGTGATATCAACACCCGTGGTTTCCTTTTCACCACTGGGTCGCCAGGCTGTGACCTCACAACACTAGGCCTCCTTTGACCCTCCCTCAGTGGGAACTTGCACAACGCAGCTGGCTGTTTCCCTCCCTCCCAACACTGCTCCCTCTTTAAGACTAACTGCATGCAAGCCAGGCACGGGTCCTCCTTTGACCCTCCCTCAGTGGGAACTTGCACAACGCAGCTGGCTGTTTCCCTCCCTCCCAATGCTACTCCCTCTTTAAGACTAACTGCATGCAAGCCGGGCACGGGGGCACACGCCTGTAATCCCAGCACACAGGAAGCTGAGGCAGGAGGATCACTGTGAGTTTGAGACCAACCTGGGCTACATAGTGAGTTTCAGATCAGTCTCAACTACGTAGTGAGACCCTGTCTCAAAAAACAAACAAACAAACAAAAAAGACTAACTGCATGCAAATGATTTCCTGGCACTTCCAGTCTTTTTCTTTAAAAAAAAATTGACATGTAAACATTGTGCATCATTATGGGGTACCATGAGTTGTTCGGATACATGTGTAGACTATGTTTTTCAGTCAGGTGTCTTAGTTAATTTCTCATTGCTGAGACACAAAATCCAATCCCCACAAATGAAAGGAGAGGTTTACTTTGGCTTCAGTCAATAGTCAGCTGGCTCTAAGCAGAAACAGCATGGAAGAGAGGTACAGCGGACGAGTAACTGCTCACCTTATGGTGGCTGGGAACCAGAGAGTCAAGGGAGGAGCCAGGAAGGGAGATTTAACCTGGGCCACGCCCACAGTGATCACCTCTTTGACCAGGCCCGGCCTCCTGACAGCAAGTCAGCTTCCTCCGGAGAATCCAATCACCTTCCCAAGCTTCTGTCTATGGTTACATATGGCTTTAGGGGGACATCTAGATATAAACCGTAGCATCAAGGTAACTATTTTTTCAAGCATTGATCATTTTTTTGTGGTGAAAACATTTAAAATCCTTTCTCTTGGTTTAAAAAAATGTATACAGTACATTACCATCATCTGTGGTCACCCCACTGAGCAAGGGAATGTCGGCACTTACTCCCCTGCCCGATTGTAACCACGCACCTGTGCCTGCTCAGGCTCCATGTGCATGATCCCTCTGCAACACTGACTTTTATTTTTTGTTTGTTTGTTTGTTTGTTTTTTTGAGACAGGGTCTCACTATGTAGTTGAGACTGACCTGGAACTCACTATGTAGCTCAGGCTGATCTCGAACTCCCAGCGATCCTCCTGCGTCAGCCTCCTGAGTGCTGGGATTACAGGCGTGCGCTACCACGCCCGGCTGCAACACTGACTTTCTAAGCACTGACCACTCCTAGGTCCCTAGGTGGCAGCTGGACAAATACCAGCTTCTCAAGGGGGTACTTTTCTTGGTAGAGGTCTGTAAATTACCTCATGAGACCGTCTAATTACGTGGCTTGGACGCATGTGTGTTCTTGGCATTGCTTTGAAAATGAAGCACAGCCTGGGTGCGGTGTCACATCGTCGACTCCACGTGCACACCCTTCCCCTCCTTTGTCTCTCACCCTTTCCTCCTGCTTTTGCAAGGCACTTGGGTCAGAGCACAGGGTCCTTTTGGGGAAGTGAGTGTGGGGAGGAAACAGAAGCACAGACCTATTTTCCTAGATAGATCTGATCCATGTCCACTCACTCCGTTTCTCTTTTTCGTTTATCAAAAACCACGAGCTTCCATGCTAAGGCAGAGAGGAGAGAAGAGCGGGGACAAAGGAAAAGCCTTCTATAATTGCTACAGTTCTGAGCTGGATGTCCCTAAAACCCACGTGTCCAAGGCTTAGTCCCAGCTTGGTGCTCCTCAGAGAGAGTGGGACCTTTAAGGGGTGGATCTAGGAGGAGGTCTGTCTGTCTGTCTGTCTGCCCCTCCCCCAGCCCCCTGCGTTGCCTTGCAGCTGTGCCCATGTCACCTGAACCTTGTGACCTGTGTCTCCGTGATGTGCTTCCCACCACAAGCTGAAAGCAATGGACCAATGGGTCATGGACTGGAACCTCCAAAACTAAAAATAGACTTTTTTCCCTGTATACATCGATGTGCCTCAAGTATTTCCTATAGCAATTGAAAGCTAACCAGTGCAATCATTTATAAAGATATAAACACAGACACCTTTTGAGAGTGAGGAACATTCACACAGTAGGAGACATAATACTATTTTTCCTTTTAGTAAATGTTAGTAGTGATCCTGCAAAATAAACAGCCTCTGGAGGGGGATTTCTGTCTAGGTCTGGGCAAGTGCTTGCTTGCCTTCTGTGGAAACTCCTCCACTTCTGGTGGAGCCTCTGGTTAAACTGAGCCAATCTAATATCAATATTGCCACTTTGAGCTGCTCGCAAGCCAACATGATTAGATGAGAGAAAGCACATACATGATTCTCAGGCCACCAACGCAGCTCACCATTGTACTCCATTAGTTTCAAGAGCAGTGACAAAATAGATGGTACAGGTTGACAAGCCTTTACCCAAAATATCTGAGACCAGAAGTGTTTCATTCTGGAATTTTTAAATTTTGGAATATATGTGTGTGAGCAGTGACATATCTTAGGAATGGGACCCAAGTGTAAACATGAGACTCATCTGTGTTTCATAGACACCTCGCACACACAGCCTGAAGATTACTTTATACGCTACTGTCAGTGAGCCTACATTTTGGCTGTGGCACTGCAGGAGGACAGGTGTGGCATTTTCCCCTGTGGCATCACGTTGGCCTTCAAAAAACTTCAGATTTTGGATGTTTGGGGAAGGGATGCGCCAACCTGTATTGTGGAGCCCTAGTCTTACTGCCCTACTCAGCACTTACTTCCTGCTCCCTCTAATAGCAATAACAACACAAGTAGCCGGCCCTATTGGCCCTGAACTCAGGAGGCTGAGGCAGGAGGAGACTGAGTTTGAGGCCTGCCTGGACTACTATATAATGAGTTCAAGGCTGGCCTGGATTACATAACAAGATCTTTTTTCAAACAAATAAACAGACAAACATACTCAATGCCAGTAATGATCAAGCCTGTAACTGCCATTGGTTATGGAATGCCGACTATTTCTATAGTTACTTAGACATTATCTTGAAAGGTTAAATAACTTGCCAGACTCATATAGTTACTATGTGGCAGTGCTATAATGTGGATTCAGGGCTCATCCTAACTCTAGCAGATAGGAGATCCTAAACTACCACCAACAACAACTTCTGCTGTCGGTGTGTCTAGTCTGTCAGGGAGCCCAGGAAGAGAAAACCATGCTGAGGACAGTCTCTTCAAGTGGGACAAATGCTCTGTAAGTCTGCACTATCCCAACCATTTCCAAATTACCTCCCACCTTGCAGCTGTGCCTATGACACCAACTCCATGTCACCTACGCCCCTGTATCACCTGTACCTGTGTCACTGAACCTGTGTCACCTGGGCCTCCATGTCACCCGCCTGAAACCAGTGCATCTGAGTGTGTAGCTCCCAACTCTCACTATTTCTGCCCTATGTGTCTATTGCTCACTCTGTAGGTCCTAGGAGGGAACTGTGGTTTGTATTTTGATTTTGGTATACAAACCCTCTCAAGTACCAAGCATCAGGGGCCTTTGATGTTTTTCAGAAAGCCCATCCTGGAATTCAGAGCAGAAGATCAGCAAGTCTGGTAGCAGAGAGACTAACTGAGGGGCAGCTGTAGAAATCTAGCTGAGAAATGGTGAGGGCTGGACTAAGGCTAGGTACAAAGATGAAGAGGGTGATGGAGCACAGGGTGGGTAGGGCCTGCGGGAAGGAGCCTAAGTGGACTTCTTCATGGGTGGCCTCGGCAGCTAAGTGCTGCTGATTCTGTGTGGCCCTGTTGGGAACAAAAAGCCAAGAGGTCAGAGATGATGGGTGTGCATGATGACTTTAGTAGAAAGAAAGGGCCAATGCAAGGTTCTGGGAAGGACCAAGATCTGGAGGAGGTGTCTTTCCTAATCCAGGGCTGTAGGTAGCTCCCCTGAGGCAGAAGGCCAGGCAAGTTTGGGCCTCCAGACTGGGAAGAAACCTTTTAAAAGTCCCCATTGCTCTTTTCCAGGCCCTGTTATGGCCCACCTGGTTATGACTTGTTCCAGAATCAGCCTGGTACCACCCTCTTTCCTGCTCCAAACCATGGGACACTCACAATGAAGCATTCTGCAAATGTCCGGGCCACATCCTGACTATGTCCCCTCCGAGATTCCTGAAAACTTGCCACCCACAGAGCCGGTAAAATCAAGGAGGCCCAGAAAACTGGCTGTAGCCCGGGTTCCTGGTCAGTCTCCTGCCTGGCAGCAGCTCTTGCAGGTAAGTCATCCACTGGGTAAAACTATAGGCAGGAAGTTCTGAAGGTGGTTACAGCCTACCCTTGGCTTTTCAACCAGATTTTTTCCTATGTTTGGCTGGAGAGTTGGAGTTTAAACAAAGTTTACCTCTAGGACTCTTTCAGCAGTATCTGATGTCAGAATTTCTATATTAACACTTCTTCCATTGGGCAGAAATATATCTAGAGAAGCTTTTTCAGCAGAGATGTTAAACGTGTTCTGTAAGGAGAAGGAAAGCAGAGTCAGTTTCCACCACAGCACAGGGAGAGAATGGTTAGCAGCTGCCTTTCCTGTTTAGGAAGATGGTACCTGAAACACACATGCACAGTCAGGAAAGACAGGAGGCTATGATTTGGGGTATGGAATAGGGGAGGAGAGGGGCCGAGGTAGAGCAATAACAGGATGCTTGAATAATTTCCAAGGTGCACAGAGAGCTCTTCTGATAAATCATCCATGTCACAGTTTTGACTATTTCTAAGTGTCCCTGAAAATCCCCGCGTCCCGGGGTTTTTTCCTGACACAATATGGCACCTCCTCAGCACATATGAATCAATTCCCCAATTTTTGGACAGTGGATGGGAACTCAACAATTTAATTCAGCTCTGATATGATTCACCTACAAATGGCACCAGACCCCATACATCAAAGGCTCAGTCCTAAAGATCTCCCCGCATCACGTGCCAGGTACAGAAGCAGTGTCCGGGCTGCAGTCATTTCTGAAGAGTTGACAGCCAATCCAGGGCTCCTTGGGACTCCCTCTCAGGCTCCATTCTGTGCTAGAATGACTCCACGAACTCGGGGAAATGGTTTGCTTGCTATTCCTGATTTATTTGAAAGACTACAACCCGGAAATGGCCAAATGAAAGTGATGCTCGGGGCAAGGTGGAGGGGCTCCCCTGCCCTCACTGGGCAAGCGTCCCACTCAGCACCCACATCTTCACCAGCACAGAGGCTCTTCAATCATTGAAGGTTTTTGTGGAGTTTCTACCACTCATGGTGTGTGATCTTGTGTAAACCTGAACAGGTAACTTCCTCTCTATGTGCATCATCCCTTCAGCCCTCAAATACGGGGGTGAGCGAGGGTTCAGGGAGGTGATGCCAGAGGAATGTGGTCTGTGCACACCACAAACACTCCGATGGTGGCCCCGCTGTCTTGTTACTGCTGCAACAGCAAGAAGTCATAGCTTCAAGATGACTTAGTTGCATAAGGTAAGAAATGAAAGGGACAGAAAGGTTTAGGGAGGTGTTTTCAATATTAAGATGCTGTCGGGTCCTGAACACTCATATTCAACATCTTAAACCATCTCTTGGGTCCTGCTCCTCTCCAGCTCCTCTACCAGCACCTTAGACCCACCCAACACCCTCAACTCCTGCCGCGACCTCCCCACAGGTCTCCTCTGTCCAGTCTTCCCCACACAGCCTCTCTACCACAACCAGAGAAAATTCCTTAACAGCAAGCCTAAAAATGTTCCTTTCTTAAAACCCTCCAGTGTCCTCGCATTGCTCACAGGACACCCAATGCTTCCCTATTGATGAAGATGAGAGAAATCAGTGGGCTGCTGCCCATCTTTCTCCAGCGCATCCTAAGTTTGCCACCCCAGGGGAGTGCTCGCTCCACTAGAGAGGAAGAGGAAGAAAGGCTGGGGCACAGCCTTGAGGTGGGGCTGTCTAATCTTGAAGCAAACAAGCATTCTTACCAGGGAGTGAAGAGAGGCTCTGTGAGAATAAAGCCAACGTAGCAGAAGGCGATATTTACAGTAGGGGATGAAAGTAGGCACCCAGCTGAACTTCTATGACTTTTCAGTTAAATGAATACATTTTCCTCTTTTTAAATTTCTTTATGATTGAAAAAAGGGTCTGAGGTTGTAGACATAACTCAGTGGTAGAACATGTGCTTAGCATGTTTCAGGCCCCCGGGTTTAATCTACAGCACCAAATAAAATAAAATAAAACTAACATAAGTAATGTAATCTAGCTGATTTCCACCCACTAAGTGTTGAATGCTCCTGGCTTTTTCATATTTAGTTTGTTTAAAGCTCTATGTGGAGAGTTTACTGTGAATAGCGCTGTCCAAACAGACATTTGAATAATCTTGGGGCCATATTCCTCAACTGAAATTACCCAAGTGATACAAAGGACTAGAATAGTGGAGCCTAGAAGGGAGCATTTGGAAATGTGTTGTCTACACACAAAACTTCCCTCTCCAGCCTGCCATACCTGTGTATCCTACAGGTATTTTAGACAAGAACACTGAGGCTGAAGTCTCCCAAGTTCTGGTTTGACGTGACAAGCTCCGGACATAGCTCCTCTCAGTGGATCATGTCTACCTCGTGGGCCACCTGAGTGCCACCAGTCAGGTGAGCAAAGTGGATGGAGTGACCCTGTCACTTTCCTTCCGCTTTCTCCCTAGCGAGTCCTATAGGCCACGTCACCCCATGGAATTCTGACTCACATTCTAGTCCAGCCTTCAAGACGCCAGCCACACCTACCCCTTCCTCATTCCCCTAGTTAACCACACCTCCTGTAACGCACAAAGAAAACTGAGGAGGGGAACTCACTTCACTTCCGTTCACACCACCGCCTCATCCACTTTTTATCCTACCTTCAATTTAAGAGGCGCCCTGTGCCATCTGATTCCAGATATAGAGATCAATCCCCCTTCCTCCAGGACTGTTCAGATCCTCCAGCCTGGTCTCCTCTTCCACGCCCCTCTCAGCTCCCGCTCCTTCCCGCTACCAGGCAAACTACGGGAGTCTCTCATTTTAAATAGAAAGCTGGCTCCTCTGAGTAGATCATCTCCAAGAAAAGAAGTCTGGCCTGTTTGATCACAGGGGAAATTGTCTCAGCACTGTTACAGGTATGTGAACAGTCACATGCTTTACGAGCAGCCAAGCATATTTTTTTCCCCTTTTAAATAATGCAGTTTCAACTCAAGGAAAAATAAACACGGTTCAAGTAAGTAAAGGCAATCATAGTATCTAATTCTGCACTAAAAAAAAAAAAAAATCCAGGTTATGTAATAAAGAAAATACAAAATTTTTAAACTGTGACATTACAAAGTTAGGGAAGAGCAGAAGAGGGGATAGAAGGAAATTGAATTCCTCATCCTCCTAGCAGTTGGCAGAGAATGTCAAAAAATGGAGGATTATTGTACAAAATAATTTTATATATATGGTTACCCTCCAGACTTTCAAATGAAGAAAAGGCCAAAAGATTTGAAAGTCATTGCTTCCAAAAGGCAGGGGATTGTCATAGTATCACCTTTTTAGCACTATTTAAGTGTTAAAACTATAGGCACCTTTTCCTTTCATTAAAAAATAAACATTTTAAGAATGAGGCTAATGGAGAGAAATAGCATCAAGGAATATGTAATGAGATAGAAATAGACGGAACAGATTTGGATAGGCAATCAAGAATAAATTTGGCTCTATTTGTGATATATTTGAATTTTACTAGAAGTCTTTCATGAGTTACCTACATACTTAATAAAATGTAAAAGCAATAAAAAACAAAGAAGAAAGGTCAACTGGTGAAGATGGGTTGCATGAAACACAAAATGTTAAATACGTTGCTATCTTGATTGAGGGTGGATCAGGATTGAAAAAGCCCAAGTCACACTAGAAAACTGAAGAATGCATTTAGTTTAAAGACATCGCAAAATCCTCAGTTACCAGGGGCCATTCTTTAAAACATGTGTTAACTATCCACAAATCAAACATAAAAAATCCAAGAAATCTCTGAATTTCACCAGGAGCTCCGTGTGCTTTGTGGATGGTCTGTTCTGATGACCACTGGCCGGATTCTCCAGGCTTCTTATCTAAGGAAACCCAGATGTGATCACTGAGCTCTAAACATTCCTCACACTCACCCATGTGCCCTAATCATTTCTCTTCAAGGGACAGGGAGGAAATTAAGAGGAAATGGGGAACCAGTCGCTTCACAGGGCCCCAAACACAGCCACTGTGGGCAGAGCCTCTTATGTAAGTTGCCTCTGACACAGTCTCTCCAAATGCCTTCTCGATCCCCTTCCCTCAAACATGTAGCTTCGCCTTGGACCCCTAAGAATACCCTGGTTTATAAATCAAGAACACAAAACAGTATTCAGTCAAGAGACACTGGTTTTACCTTTTCAAATGTCCCTTCATCTCTAAAGTGATTGCAAAACAAAAAATCCAGAACATAGTGAGCCAAGGAAAAAGGGGAGCTCTAGATCCAGAACACAAAAGGAACCACAAAAGGGACCACAAAGGGATGGGGTGTGGAGCCACCTCCCCTCCAAACATCTCATAACGTGAATGGGGGTGGGGGTCCTGGGTTTGGGACCCCAGATCTGCTGTGAAAAGCACATCTTTAGGCACGTTGCTCAACCTAGAAGAATGTCACTTCCCTCAACAAGCCGGGAGAAATAACATGAAACACAGAGTAGATGTCCCTTTTGGGGCAAAACCTTTTTTTTTGTTTTGGCTGGTCTTTGGCCTCTTTGATAGCAGCTTTCCTCGAAGGGGCTTCTAAGGTCTCCTCTGTCCTTGTAGGAGGCTGAGAGATGCCCTTGAATTTCCTGAGCCCTGAAAGGCCAGGCTTAGAACATGTGATTATTTGGCAATGGCACCAGAAGCTGCAGGCTGCTGCACTTACCAGATGTAGTGACCACCTCCAGGTGAGCACTGCCGGCTCCCTGCTCCGAGGACTCCTGCGCAGTCCCACACATGTACACGTCACTGCTCATTCCAGTTCTCCCTGCCTCCCACCAGCCCTGCATGAGCAAGTGTCTTTCTCCTGCACAGACCACATCTATGCACCTGAACCCATCACTGTGGCTAGAAGAGGGATCAGGGCAGGGTCTGTGGGTAGTGGGAGAGGAAGAGAGGACTCATCACCATAAGAAGTGGCTTCTGCTTCCCTTTTGCCAGTCTTGAGTCTCCTGGCACCTGCAGATATAACATGTGGTGTTTTCCCTAATGGGGGAAAGAAGCTAGAATATATATATAGTCTCTCCACCCACTCACCCATCCATCCATCCATCCATCCATCCATCCATCCATCTACCCACCCACCCATCTACCCATCCATCCACCCATCCATCCATCCCTTCCTGCTCACCTAGAAAATTTCAAAGACCTGCAAAGACATCTCTTTCTTTAGCACACACTAGCCCTATGGAAGTCCCTCCTGGCTCTCTCCTCACCAGGTCACATTGAGAAGATGACACTGTGCTGCATACCAGGTAAATGGGCATGAGGCCTCTGTAGGTGGCAGGGCCCACAAATGCTGCACCAAGGCTGGGGGGAGGGAAATTGAGACACATCACTGCCTGTCTCCTGGACCATGGCCCTGCTTTGGAGAGAGTGGCCTGCAATGCAGTGCACAGTATGCTGGGCACAGGGCCAGGTCCTCTAGCACACTGCTATTTCCATGCACTGGGGACTTTTCTCTCCCCAGCACAGCAAATCCGTGGGTGGCCAGGCATCACTTACTGGTGTCTCCCGTGTCTCTAGGTCGGTGCTGGTTCTCACTATTCATTCCATATGTGTTTGCTGAGTGCAGGACAGTATGTGACAGGATGAAGCAGGAAGGGGTGCAATGAATATAGGACAAAATTCCTGATTTAAATTTAATTTCATTTTCAAATTGTAACATAAATTTTCTTTATAGACATCTTCGGGAGTAAAGCACCTCTGTCCTGGTTTCCTTTTGGAAGCAAAGAGGAAACAATTAGAAAGGAAACCATCTTTGGAGAAATTTGAAAATAGCCCTGGGTCTGAACCACTAAGTGTTCAGAGGGGCTTCGGAGCATAGTGGAATCAGACCTGGCCAGAGAGTGAGGAGCAGAGGGCTTGACCTGCCTCAAAGCAGTTCATCATGAGGGGAACTCTGAGCCCCATTTCCCAGGCACAAGGGAGGCTGGAGAGATGTGCAGACCTCATCTTTGCTAAAAGTGATCTCTCAGCATGGTTAGGAAAAAGAACCGGTGTTCAGTCATCACCAATTTCTAAACATTAAGTGCTATTTAAGTGCTTCTTGAAGTGTATGGGTTTGCTTAAGCCTTAAAGCAACCCTGAGAGACTGGAACTCTTATCCCCGTTTCGCAGATGGAGAAACAGAGACACAAAGAGGTTAGGCAAATTGTCCCATAGCGCATAATTTGAAAGTAGGAAAGCCAAGATTTGAAGAGCATCTCATTCCTGAGCCCGAACTCTTGCCCATAAGCCAGCTGTGAGGCTGCAGATCTGAGTCAATAAAAGGATTTTAAATGCTACATCATGATGTGCTAGACTGCTCAGGACTTAGAGCAGACTATTAGTGAGAAAAAAAAATCTCATAAACAAATGGCAAGAGGCAGAAATTCGACAGTCACCAAGGACTCTAAATGAGCCTCTTCCAACAGCAGGCATTGGCACACAGCTGGCACATGAGTAGTGGCCCTTCTTCAGGGGAACAATGACCTGCAGAGGACCCGCGAGGGACCAACACAAAAGTCCTGCAAGATAGGAGGGAAGAAATATGACTGATTATAGGCCAAAAATACATATATATGTGTGTCTGAAAAGTTACACCACGAAGACGGTTAAAATGGTGGATGTATCGATAAGAATATGCCCTCTAGGGGAAGGGGAAGTGGGAGAAGTAGGGGAAAGGAAAGAGGAGATGGAATTAATATGAGAAAATTAAAAATTGGAAACAAAGGCTTTGTGAATAGGGTGGAGGGGTTGAAGGGGGGCGGGGGAATGGGGAAAAAATAACAATCAAAATATATCATGTAAAGGTACAAACCTCCAATGATGAATGTCGGCATATTATATACCTAAAATGTGGCAATAAAACTAATTTAAAAGAAGAATATGTCACTCTGAAGGAATAGCTCAAAGACAGAGAGCTGGCAAAGTCAATGGGGAAAACAAATGCAAAACCATCACAAAAAGGAAAACAGCATCAGAAGAAAGGAGAAGAGATACTGCAAAATGCATCTGAAAGTAGAGGGCTTTCATATAAAGTCATAAAGGCCAAATAGTAAGGTAAAAACTTCCAAATTATCAAGAAAAAAGACATAAAACAAAGCTCCACAACATTCCTATTCATGAATGATTGTTTAAAATCATGGGAAGGAAAATGAGTAATGTATACCCTAAAGGGCTAAAGTCAAACTTAGCTTTATAAGTGCGGATATATAATGATCTGCAAGGCTAAGTTTTAAAAAGCAAGGTTCAAGAATGTGATCATTAATCACGACACGTCAACATTGATGGATTAAGAAACTCTTCGCTCTGGATGTGTCGGTGGGTGGCTGACAGGAGGCCCATCCTCGGAGGCTTGCAGCCTGGGCGAACAAAAAGACTCTTCCTGTGTGGGCGGGCCCTTTGCTGCTGTTGTCCTTGGACATCTGGACATCGGCCTCTAGGTCTCCAGTTTCTCCAGCCCTTCCAGAGCAACTCCCTGCCGGCGACTCTCCAGGGAGCTTCCAGGCCTTTGGCCTTGGACTGGTTTAAACTGAACAGCTACTGGCCCTTCCAGCTCTCCGGTGCACAGCCAGTAGGGGTCTCTCCGGCCTCTGATCCCTATGCCTACCCTCTAAGTCCCCTAGCATAATCATACATACATTTTCTATTGTTTGTGTTCTTCGAGAGACCCCTAACTAACACGAAGAAGTGCGCCTAGTGTGTGCTCATTTGTAAAATCGACGGGCATGTGGAAATGTGCAGAAAGAACACAGGCACCAAGTCATGAATAACAGTCGTCTCAAGGAGGGAAACTGGGGAAGGAAAAGTTACTTTTCAACGTGCATACTCTTGTGCTGTTTGAATTTTACCACTATCACTTCAAAAAGAAAAAGAAAGGATGTGTATATTTAAGTCATCAAGAAAGTGTAAAAGTATGGCCAGGAATTTAGCTCAGTGGTTCTGCCACCTGCCTCTCAAGTGCAAGGACCCGAGTTCGATCTCAAAAATAAAAAGAAAGAAAGAAAGTGTAGAAATAAAAACCACTGAATGATGGAAAGCTCTAGGGTCATTTCTTGGGTTGAGAAATTACAAATATATCAAGGCCCCTGGACTCCTATCTGAATGAAATCTGCTCTCGTCTGCAGATTGATCCAGGTCTCACCCCTCCCTCCCCCAGCGGCCCGACTCGCAGCACATTATTAGACAACTTCAGCCTTCTGAAGTCCTCCCATCCAGTCCAGCTCATGTGCAGGTGTAAAATGCTTCCACAGGTACAATGACGATGCCTGATGTGCTAAATAACTCAACTTAGTCAAGTTTCGGCCCAGAGGGCAAGTGGCAAGTGGCTCTTCAAGCTGCCCAAGGAAAGGGAGTTGCCGCATATCTCTGCTGAGTTTTCTCCACTTACAGGAAAGTAAGGAGCAGACACAAGTGCTGTCACGGCTGCTGAGGCCCGCTGTGCTACAGTCTACACCCTGGCACCCTGGGAAATCTCAGCTGTGGAACTGGGGTCACAGGCTCAGGAGGAGGCCCCTTAATGATTCCTAGGAACACCTCTTTCTCTGTACTCTAAGGGTAACTTTGTGGGGGCCAGTTTTGTGGTGGACAATACCTAGGCTACAGAAACAGGTACCTGCTTGTTGAAAAAGAAACCAAACGTCAAGTGCCACATTTCATTTTTTCATCAAGAGCCTAAACTTCCCAAATGGAAGCCATTCTTTGATCTATTCTAAATGAATCTATCTCACCAGAGTCCGGGCTCTGTGGGGCCAAAGGCTAAAGCACACACGTGCGCACAATCACAAGGCATGGTTAACAAGGACAGCAGCAATGGCCTCAGTGAAGAAAAGCAAGCTTACCAGCTGTGCCAGCTGTAGAAACTCAATGAAGACATCACTCCTCAAGGCATTTGGGTCTGCAGTTACTGAAAAACATGGACGAAGAGCAGGGTTAGCACTGGCCAGGCTGAGCCTTGTCTTTAAATGCCCTGGGGCGCCCTCCATGCCTGCCAGCACTCTGTGGCTTCACTGACAGAAGTGAAGGTGGTGACCTCTCAAATAAAGGAAAATCCACAAAGCCCAGGCAGGCTGACACAACACAACCCATGGCAACAATTCAAGGAGACAGTGCCCCAGAATCTCACCTCGTGTGTGCGCACCCACACTGCATACCTGTCTTGCCACCCTACTGGGATGAACCTGCAGTTAACATGAAGAAGCAAAAAGATCTTAAGGGATGGGTCAAGCTACTTTACTGAGACATGTGTGATTTGAAAAATTTAAAACCAACCACAAACACCAATGGAGAACACCTCTTTGACTGATGGGAGCTCTCAAAAGAAAACTCCAAAAATGACAAGGCAGTCAGAGAAATTTAAAGTACTTCATCAAGCCTTGGTAGCATATGCTTCTAATTCCAGTCTTGGAAGGCTGAAGCAAGGATTGCAAGTTTAAAGCCAGTCTAGGCAACTTAGGGAGACCCTGACTCAAAAAAAAAACCCCAAAAAACCAAAAAATAAAAAACAAAAAAACAAAAAAAAAGAAAGAAAATGGCTGGGGACATAGCTCAGCAGCAGAGTAGTTGCCTAATACGTCTGTGGCCCTGGGTTCAGTCTTCAGCACTGCAAAACATAGTAATAGTAATAATATGCCCAGAAAAATACTCCTCCTTCCCCCAGAGCTCCAGACAGCAGTAGCCAGGTGTTGTGGCCTCTGCAGTGGGGCAGACACTCGCCTGAGAACGTGGGCCCCATGGTGCTTCCTCCTCCCTCCTGACTCCTCTCCCCTCCCAGTCTGCCTGGACCCTGCACTTGGCATCCTTACCAAACTGCTTTCAAACTTCTTTTCTTTTCTTTGTTGTTTTACTGAGTTCGTCAGATCATCTCCACTAGCATTCAAAACTAGCCCCGCCTGACTTGGTTGTAGGATGTGTCTGTCTAACAAGGTCATCTTTTGAAAATAAACTAAAAGAGGGAGTCCTGGTAACACCAGAGACTTTTGCTGGGCACGGTGGTGCACACCTGTAATTGCACCACTCCGGAGCTGAGCCATGAGGACCCTGGTGAGTTCAAGGCCAGCTTGAACTACATAGCAAGACCCTGTTTCAAAAGCAAAAACAAAAAAACAAGAGAATTTTATGAAAATCATTCCCTCTCTTCTGGATGGTAGCTTCAGGGGTGATGGGGGGCCTTGCCTTATATTCTGGACTTGATGTGGCACATGGGCTGACCAACCTTGCATTCCTTAGCATGGATTACTAGGGTTGGGGAAAGCTGTTGAGAAAAGGATTCATTCAACTAGCACTTGCTATGTGACTACGAAGTACCTGGTACTGGCCAAGCACTTTGTATATTTTAGCTCATTTAATCTTCATAATAGACCCTGAGGGAACTATTACCTCTATATTGCAGATAGAGATACTAAGATTGGAGGACCCAATCTCACATGGCCAGTGAGGGATAAAGGTGGGTTTTGAGTCTGGGTCTGACCCCAGAGCCCACACTGAGTCGTGACATGTAGCAACACCATCCCCCCATGTGACCTGGCCCAGGAGGACACACAAGACACCCCAGTGACACTGATCATGAGCCGGCCATGAGAGCACATCCTTAAGCACCGTGATCTTTTGTGAAAGTTCATGTTTTGCTAAGATTTGAGAAAATAAACTAAGAGAGAATGGAAATTCAGAAAAGCTTACATTTTGAGCTTGAAAGGGCTCATCTAACAGATCTAAAAAGAGATACAGGCTCTGTTATAAAAAACAAATGGGAGGGCTGGGGGTTTAACTCAGTGGTACCACCACAGAAGGTCCTGAGTTCGATCCCCTGTACCAAAAAACAAATGGGAAATTGATGGCTTCTAGAAACTTGGCTGTGTTTAAGAAAAATGTCCAGTCATGAAAAACAGTAAGGTGAATCTACAATTGCTGATGTAGAATGGCCTCTAACATACATATTTTAAGAGAGGAAAGTTATTATACCAAATAATAAGCTTTTCTCTTTAGCTATGAAGGACATTAGTGTGATATTTGGTAAAGTTTAAATAAGGTCTCTAGGGAAGAGGGAAAGAAGAGAAAGAAACGAAAAAAATAGGATAAAAGGAAAAATGGAAACAAAGCTGTAGTAAATAAAGATAGGAAGAGGGGTCAAAGGGAGGGGAGGGAAAGGGGAAGAAAAGAAGAATAAAGGTATATCATGTTCAAATTGACAATGTGAAATAGGAAGAAAAGGGCTAAAGGTGTAGAGGAAGTGGGAAGGGTAATAAGGGAAAAGAAAAAAAATGAGAAAATGAAAAAATGGAAATAAAGTCTTTGTAAATAGGGAAGGGAGGAGGGGGTGAAGGGAGGGCAGGGACAAGGGGAAAAAATGAGAACCAAGACCTGTCATGTAAAGGTCCAAGATCCCAATGATGCATGTAACTGTACTGTGTACCTAAAATGTACCCATAAACTCAATGAGGAAAAAAGATGTATCATGTACAGGTACAAATTCTATATGATGAATGTTACTGTTATGTATATCTAAAATGTACCAATAAAATTAAAAATAAATAAATAAGCTCTCCAGGCAACGTTATTATATAGATGTTGATTTCCTGAATTTGATAACCATACTGTGGGTATGAAGGAGTGTCCTTGATCTTAGGAAAGACATGGAGAGGATAAAATAACAACAACAGCAATAACAACAATAAAACAACAAAGGAACGCCACACTGGCACTTCAGAAGAAACATATACACATTCAAAACATGCACATATGCACAGGGAGGAACAATAAAGCAAATGTAAAATGTTAAGAATTGCCAGCCTGCGGTATGGTATGTAATGAGTTCAAGGCCAGCCTCAACTAAATAGTCAGACCCTGTCTCAAAAGCAAATCCCATACGCAAGACACGGGGAAGTGTTCACGTCCAGAGAGCTGGGCATCTGGGTTGAGAGGGAGACTTCTCTTTCATTGTGCATTGTTTTGTATAGTTTATATTTTTAAAAGATATTATGCATATAGATAAATTTCTAGTTTTAAAAACTTGATGGGCCAGGGATTTAGCTCAGTCGTTCCGCCACCTGCCTTGTAAGTGAAAGGACCCGAGTTCGACCCCTGGTACAAAAAAAAAAAAAAAAAAAAAAAAAAACTTGAAATACTTTAATTCCAATTTCACTCTCCTCCGCTGCCCCTTGTGTGACAGCTTAGTCTGGAGAGCGACGCTGTTGCTGCGGGAAGAGTCCCTGTGAGGACCGAGGTGGGAGTCTCCATTGCGTTGCCGGCAGACACCTCTGCGGTCTCAGGAGCGCTTTCCCATCCGTGGCTCAGCTCCTGTCTCCAGTCTGTCTTGATCCCAAGGGTGAATGGAAACACAGAGCATTGTTTAAACCCAATATATATGACTGCGCACATATATGAAATGTCCAGAACAAGCAGATCTAGGGAGATGGATCAGAGAGCCGTGGCCAGAGACAGTTGTGGGGAGCACAGGGTGACACCGCTACTAGGCATGAGGCTCCTTCTGAGGTGACAGCAACATTCTAAGTTATTAAACTATTGGATTGTGATGGGTGCATGATTAGACAGGGAGCTTTAAAAACCACTGAATTATATCCCTCAGATGGATGAGTTTTGTGACGTGTAACTTCTATTTCAGTACCTCTGCTTTAACAATTCCAAATGCATACCGTTTTGCAAATACTGTTCCAACTGGGCCCTCCTCTCCTCTGCCATAGATGTGGTCATTGCCAGATAGTACTTCGGTGGGAAGGGCGGCAGGCAGCTTCCAAAGACCCGCCTGAGCTGGAAGATGAGAACACACAGGTAAGGCAAGCGAGCCTCTAATTCAAGGATGCTGAGATGCTAAAGCCTCTGCAGCAAATCCCCTTTTCAGTAGTCAAAAAAGGAAGACAGGATAACTTGATTTTCTTGAGGAAGAACAAGATGTTCAGACATCACAGACTGGTTTCGGTGTATATTTGGATTTTTAATTTGTTTACAAGACTACATACAGCTTACACCATACATTTCCTTAATTCATTCCTTACCAATGTCATCAGTGATTACAGTCAGAAATTTAGTTGCCCAACCCTGCCTTCACCAAATATCGATTGCTGTGCTATCACCATGAACACCTGAAACTTGGCTAGTCTGAATTGAGATGTGCTATAAAATATAGTCCATATTTCAAAAACCTAGTTCAAAGAAGAGAATGAAAAGTATCTCTGATAATTTTTATGATGATTACACATTGAAATGATAATACTTAAATTAAATATAATACTTAAATACAGCATTAAAATTAAATTCACTTATTTCTTTTTAATGTGACTACCAAAGAATTCTAAATTACATATGTGGTTCATATGATACTTCTGCTGGATAATGCTGGCTATAGACTTCCTGGAAGGCTGACAAGCAACCCCAAGGGAAACACCTCCCTCTCACCTACCCACATAACAGCCAAACCATGATGACAATTACTTTCTTGGAAGATGCACAACAAATAATTTGAAGATAAGAACCAAAAGTGTGTCTTCTCTATTTCAGCCCTATACTGGCAATAGCAGCCTGAAAGTGAGATAAGATCAAACTCTTTGCAACAAGAGAAGCTGAGTGTGGTGGTGCATACCTATAATCCCAGTGCTAGAGAGGTTGAGGCAGGAGGATCGCTGCAAGGCTGAGCTATGTAGTGAGTTCAAGGCCAGCCTGAACTACATAGTGAGACCCCGTCTTTAAAAAGAAAGGTGGGGGTGAATGGGCCAGAAACCCAGTTAGGTATTAACATGGTACTTCTGGAGCAGGAGGGCTGAAATCTTAATATTACCATAGTCTGTGAATTAAATAAAACAAAAGCCAGTCAAGATGAAACAAAGCTTCAGACAGATAAGAGTTTAAATTTAAAATTAGTTTTGCCAGGCGTGGTGGCTCACGCCTTTAATCCCAGCACTCGGGAGGTTGAGGCAGGAAGATCGCTGTGAGTTCGAGACCAGCCTGGGCTACATAGTGAGTTCCAGGTCAGTCTCTACTAGCGAGACCCTGTCTCAAAAAACAAAACAAAACAGAATAAAATTAGCTTTAATTGCCTTTGTCACAAAGATGGTGCATTTCTGGTAAGTTTGCCTTGCACAGACCCTGACTTCCTAGTACACGGGGAATCTGACCCCCTCTCTCCACCCCAGCACCATCACTCTGACCCCAGCCTTTGTCCTCAGTCGTAGAGTCCCACTGTTGCTTCCCAAAGTGTCTCAGCTTCTGCCCTTGACCGCGTCAGGGATTTCCTGACACAGCACCTACAGTGACCCTTCAAAAAGCCTCAGTCATCACTGTGCCGCCCTGCTCAAATCCTCTGGGACTTTCCCGTCTCACTCAAGAGAAAGCCATAATCTTTCTGATGGCCTAGAATGGGACCATCCAATACGGTGGCCATTAGCCTTAACTATTTGAAAAACTTAAATTATTTAAAGTAAAGTAAAATTTTAAAATTCAGTTCCCCAGTTGTACTAGCTACATTTCACATGCTCACTGGCCACTTGAAACATGGCGAGGTGCTACTGAGTCAGACAAAGTAGATAAAGGGCATCTCCATCAGCACAGAAAGTCCTGCTGAACAGAGCTGGTCTAGAAAGGGTATTAAATGTCTGTTGGAGAAACTTAGCTCCCTGACACATTTTGTGTAGTAGTCATTTGATTTGGGGGGGGCAGGGGAGACCAGGGATCGAGCTCTGGTCCTTGCACTTGCGAGGCAGGCAGCAGAACCACTGAGCTAAATCCCCAACCCGTCATTTGGTTTTTAGAAGATTTTAGTTTGATGCTAGCATTTATTTTTATGCTTTGAAACGTATAAAAATGTACGCCTTAGAGAAAATACAAAATATTCCAGGCACGTTGTGAAACAGCTTTGTGATTTCTTACAGAGCCAAACACAGTCTTACTATATAATCCAGCAATCACATTTCTAAGCATTTAACTAGCTGATTGGAAGATTATGTCTACACAAAAACCTGCCTGTGAGGGGTACAGCATCTTTACTCATAACCCTCCAAAACTGAAAGGTCAGAGATGTCCTTCACTGTGTGAGTGAACAAACAAATTGTGATACACCCATATCAGAGAATATTATTCAGTAGTAAAAGGAAATAAACTATCAAACCCCCAGAAGAGCTAGATGAACCTTAAGTATATATCGCTAAGTGAAAGAAGACAGTCTGAAAAAACTATGCACTATATGGTTTTAGTTATATGACATTCTGGAAAAGGCAATTAATGTAGAAAGAGGAAAAGGATCAATAGCCACCAAGGGCTTGGGGAAGGGGGATATTGAATAGGTGAAGCACATGCAATTTTCTTAGGGCAGCACAGCTGTTGTGTATGGGACTATAACTGTGGATACAAGACATTATGAATTGTCGAAACCCACTGAACTTTACAATACAAGGTTAATAGATGCAAATACTTTTAATGCCCACTTAGGAAGCTGGGAGCTTCCCAGAATAGAATACAACATGTGACAAAACAATCTAATTATAGCATAAATGTATAAAACAATCTCACTGGAAGGGATGAGGGGAGAAAGTGGCGGCCTAAGTAACAAAAATGAGGGGAATCTGGGAAACTAATGGGCCAGCAACTAAGTACAGAAGACCGTGCTCCAGTTGATAAAGTGGTTTCCCATGGGAATCCAGTTTAACAATTCTACTACTACTATGAGTGTTTACGGAATCAAACAAGTAAATGATTGGCAAATGGTGGGAGTCAGGTTTCCTCTTGAGGTTGTGGGAGTTCATAGATAATAAGAGGCTAGGGCCGGGGAGTTAGCGCACTGGTTCCATCACCTGCCTTGAAAGCTCAAGGTCCCAAGTTCAATCCCTGGTACCAGTTAGTACAAACTTATTGTATGCCTTACGGTAGACAGAGATGGAATCATATAGAAATACTTCTGAGCCTGTATACATGGTCTGTGGCCATGCTTAGGCCTGTACACACCTCTATGTCTTGCTCTGCAGGCGAGAGGGCCTACACCTAACAACATGGCAGTCTCAGTGCACACCTAGCCCCTGATCTTACTTCTCATGCCATTCTCCAATAAAAGCAGTCAGGGATCCATGGAGAAATGGCTGATTCTAGGACTGAGATGGGAATACACAAGATGATCCCAGAGCATCTGGAACCATCAGAAAGTAAGGAAACACTAAAAAATAAAAAAAGAAAGAAAAGGAAAATAATGAACAATGGGGATGTCAGAGAGATACAGGAGCAAACTGAGAGAGCTCCTCAGGCCCACGCTAGGAAACTTGGATCAGCAAAGTAAAGTACTATTGACACATCACCCAGAGTATAAATACCCATCATCCTGTACAGATGTAAATTATTGAATAAATGAACAGGAGGGTAGAGACACATCTGAGCCGAAGAGTTCCTGATCATTTATGTAGATGCTCGTTCCTCAACATAGGGAAGCATAAATCGCGGCTCTTTGAGGGTGGGTGCTCTTTAAGTGACTTTCTTCCAAAGAATGCACTAGAAAGAGAGGGAAGAGAGAGGGGCACCTTGCTTGGAGAAACGTGACTGACACTTCCCCAACTGTGTCACGGGCGACAGCAACCATGCTAAGTAACACGGAAGGCAGGCACCGTGCCGAGGTGCGATTAGAATGGTGTTTCACCTTTGGGGTCTTCCCTTCCATGACCCTCATCCACTCTCGCTATGTGGTAAAATACAAGATTTCAGCAGAAGGACGTTTCACAAAAACTGGAAAAGCCCGAGAAATGCTCAGAGTCAAAGGAGTTCTGGGAGATTCAGTGACTAAATGTAATATGGGGTCCCGCCTCAACTCCTGGGACAGAAACAGAAAATTAGGCAAAGACTAACGAGTCCGAAGAAATTGTGCACTGTAGTTAATAACAATGCATCACCCTGATTCACTAATTGTAGCAAATATTCCATACAAATGAAAATGTTAGTAATAGAGGAAACTGGGTAGACAGCACATGGGAACCTTCTGTACTATCCTCTCTGTAAACGAAAACTGTTGCCCGGAAAATTCAGTTTACTTAAAAAAAAAATGGATATTCTGGCTTCTCTTGGAAAGTCAGAAGATCCGGAATCATTGGGTTCACATTCTCAGGCTGCCCCATGCCCACTGCCTCTCCCCTGAACCTCATCTCGTTCAAATTACTCTCCTGACTCTTGTCAGCCTTTTCAACCTCTCTTCCAGCCCTAGTATAAAATATTATAGCAGCAACTGTGCTTCTTTCAAGCTCAAGAAAATGTTCCTGCCATACCAGAGACTGTCAAGAGGCACTCCAGATGGAGCTCCAACCCAGGCAGGGCTGCCCAAACAACCTGGGATTTATGTATTCCATCTCAGCTAATCCCATTCAACAGAAGCAAAAGTGTGTCTTCTTTGCATGCAATTACTCCTTGTTTAGCTGATTAAGTGATCTTTAAAAAGCAGTTGTCTTCCTTGGCATGGGTTCATGAATGTCACAGATGCTCCCAAATTAGTTCTCATCACAGCAGGCTTGAGACAACTGGGCTGCTTGAGTTATCTATCTATCTGGAGGGACCTCTGACCCTGAGGCCAAGAGCTGGGGAAAAGCCAACAGTGATTAAGGTTGTGATACTCACCACAGGCAAAAGCCTCCCCGCTGACTTCTCAAGGAACCTTTTGCCTCCCTTCTCCAACACTCCGGGGAAAGAGACACATACCACACACTGGGCAGTGAAGTTGGCCAAAAGCCAACCATCAACCCCAAGTTCAACTCTTCCAACATGGAACCTTTTCCATGGGCCCCAGATGGCACATAGTTTGGTTATGAAAGCCTCCAGCGTACTGAGGATTACCTGGCACTGGAGTTGAGCTCAATAAAACATTTTTTAAAAGCAAAACTCTTCTGCTCCCTTATTATGAAGCATTTTATTTGTTTGAAGTATTCCTTTTTTTTTTCCTGGAACACTACATTCCCGCATTTTTTAAATCCCAGAACGATCCACACCAGTGTTCAGATCTCATGTAGTTTGACCTTTTGTTTATTTGCTTTTTTGTTGCTGTTCTTGTTGTTGGTACCAGGGATTAAACCAGGAACCTTGCTCTCCCAAGACAAGTGGCAGCACCACTGAGCTAAATCAGCGGCCCCAGTTCTGCCTTTTGACATGAACAGGACTGTGCATACCAGCTGGAAATGTCCCCTCCTTTCCTGTCTTACACAGTCCCCATACCTACCCCTGAGCCATGTAGAATTAAAAATATGCACGGTGTTCTTCCTACACTCTAACATCGACTCATTTACCACACCTCTCCAAGCCCCCTTGTCATCAAAGCCCAGAGTCACCAGACGAAGGGCCACAGCTCAGAGCAGACTGACTTGTAGCATCGAAACACAAAATAGCACAAGAATCAGAGAAAGATATTTTATGCAATTAAGGGGGACTTTCTGGGAGAGGTGGGCTTTGAGAAAGCACTGGTTCCTGAAAGGCGGACAAAACGAAGAATCTTCCCAAGCAGAAGTGACTGCCCTCGCCTGAGAGGAGCAGATCTGAGTAGGGGGATGGGAGGATCCAGACGGGTCAGCTCTTGACAGGGAGGTGTGTGGAAGCAGTGTGAGGGGCTTGCACAGTTTTCTCTTCCTGCTACAGTGTCCTCTCCATCTTTCCTGACTCGCCCCCATTGCCGCGTCTGATGTTGGCTGAGTGCAGGAGGCAGGCACCTGTGCCCAGCGCCCACACCGCTGACACAGGGTGCCCTGATCCGTAACTCTGGGCTGGATTTCTTGACATCCATTTAAGAAGGGTGGTGCACATCAGGGCACAGACATTGATCAAACTGGTTCTATGCGTCCAAAAGTACAGAAAGAAGCTGGGCCAGGCAGTTCACACGGCAGAGGGACAAGCATCGCTCAGCAGCAGCGGGGCATGAGGCCAGCCCTTGAGGGAGCCTCACCAGGCCAAAGGGCTGCAGGTGACAATGCCAGTGAGAGTGGGACTCGGCTGACCTCACAGTCACACAACACCTCTCCCCTGGGTACAGTCTTGTACACATTAGCTCTCAACATACCCTGGCTGACAACGAGGGGCCAGCTCACCGGGGCGGCAGCTGCTCCACAACCCCAGAGTATCTGATATGCACAACATAACTCAAGTTTTCAGCCCAAAATTACAAGTGGTAAAGCCATAGTCTTCACATAATTTAACACAGTGCATAGGATACAACAGGAGCTTTGTAAGTTTTTAAAAATATGGTGGAAATAAACTTATACTCACCACACAAGGGGGGTGCTTTCTGATTCATTTTTTACAGTGCTTTGTATTGAGTCAGATTAAGAATTTTGGAGACGTTTCACATCCTCCATAGAATGGGAAGAATAAAACCCAGCAGGGAAGTGATTGGGGAATGTCACCCAATCTTTCAGCATCAGACAAGATACAGGAGGCAGCTGAGGGTGCCCCAAATGGTACACAGGACATTCCTACATCAGAAAGTTGTTTGTTTTTCGGAAACTCAGATTTAACTGAGGGCCCCATATTTCTGCTTGTTAAATCTGGTGGCCCCACGCAGAGTCCTCCCTACGAGACGAGAGGGATGACCACGATGGTGACGACGATGATGATGATGACCATGGTGATGTACACGGACCTTCCAGGCCTTGGCAGCAGCCGCCACAAAACCCTGTGCCCAGAACTCTGGCGGCAGAAAGTGAGCCAGGGCTGCCTGGGGCAGGGGTGCATGAGAGGACCAAGGGCAAAGAGGCCAGGGCAACTTCCCAGTGAGGGAATGTTCCTGTAACTTGATTACAGTGGGGTGAGTGTACATATTTACTAAATTTCGTCACACTGAACACCCCAAACTGGGGGATTCCGTTAGCATTCCAAAATATGGGGAAAGCAGCTGAGATGTTTCTCACTCACTAGATTCGATTATTTTACTGGTAGGATTTTTGTCAATATAATAAAGAAACACATAATGTAATGGGTCAGAGCAGGGTCACAACAGTTTAACACTGGACAAACTGTCTGAGTGCTTCTTCATTTCTTAATGAGGCTAATTATAATCCTAGCTCCTAGGACTGCTGTAAAAATTACACGATGCAAATTAATTTATGTAAAGTGCTTGGCGCTGACTGTGCCACACTGAACTGCTTAATGGTTAACTGTTGCAAATTAAGATTAAATATCAACAGCCACCTAAATCCTAACAATTTCTTTAAAATGAAGTTGTTCGTTTAGAAAGTAGAACAAAAAACAATAGCTGCAAAGTGAAGGGAAGCTGAAAAATGGACAAGAAATCTCTACTTCAGAGTTTTGAAAAGTCTGGGATATATATGTTCATTATACCTACTTTGTACAGCCCCACAGGCAGGCAGTGAGTTGAGGCGGTTTGATATTTTAGGGCCCATTGCAATGAATAACAGTGTCTTGTTCATGACTCTCAAATAAGATGATCAACAAAAAAGTCTTTTCACTTTATGTCGCTGGTTCTGGACCTACTATAACTAACTTGGCCCTTCTAACTTTTCCTGACAATAAGTATTTTCTTGACTCTGTTGGTTAATGAGGACTAGATTTAGGAATTCTAGAACTCCTGAATCAGCAGATATTTACTGAGCATGCTACAATGTACCAGGCTTAGAGAAACTGCCCTGCTTGTCCCCAGCACCATAGCAGGTTGATACTCATAACCATTTACAGTGGACCCTCAAGTTACAACCAGCCTGACATATGAACAAGTTGAGTTACAACTGGAATTTTAGTTTTAAGTTAGGAACAAGTTATGACCCGGATGCCGGCTGCTGGTGCTTCCAGATGGTCTCAGATACAGATCTAACCCTTAAAGAGTTCTGGAACGAACATCACAGCATCCTTTCCTGTGTGGCATCCATTGAGGAGTCCTGGGCCAGTGTCTCTCTAAGGACACTGAGATCTGCCTGGAAGAAAATGTGGCCTAAAATTATACAGGAGAGAGACTTTGAAGGCAATTGACCAACTTGAGTTACCACCAGCCTTCAGGAACGAATTGAATTTGTAAGTCAAGGGTCCAACGTACTTGCTTGCTATTTCTGGCAAGAAAACTGAAGGTCAGAGAGGAGCCAAGCAGCCAGCATCGGTCAGTCTATCCCAAGTTCTCCTGCTACCCCTTCCTCATTCTCATGTCACAGCAGAGAAGACACACAGGGTGGGAGAGCACAGTCTGACCTATGTCTTCCAAAGTCCAAAACACGGGTCCTTTCTTTTCCCATCTGCCTGACTGCAGCCCTCACAACTCCCCAGATGGGTTTTGGTCAAAAGAAGCTCCTTGCCTTCAGAAATCTGAACTCACATACTTTTTCATTCAGTCATTCGTCAGTCATTCCTGAGGGCTACTGGGTCACAGGCACCAGCAATACAATTTAGCTAGTGATCACATTACAACCGTTTCCTTGTTAACTCAAAAGACATACTTTAATCATACCTTGAAAACCATTATCTTCCAAGGAAGTACGATGTAAAAGCAAGAAGGCTCACGATGGTGACATTTTCACAGTTGCAAAGTCAAACGGAAGACGGTCAAATAAAATCTGACAGTCTACTCAGGAGAACCTCCGAGGCTGTGTGAAATGGAGCCCACCACAGACACAGACCCGGCACCCTATCCGGTAGGCTGGTGGGGACCACGAGGCTGGAAGAAACATCCGTGTCTTCCTCGCACACCTGTAGGAGCCCACATGCATTCATCTGGGTGCGCGTCAAGAAATTCACAATCAGTCCTTACCCAGCCCAGTTTAAGATTAGGAACCTAGGGCCAGAAAAATCAACGTCTTGCAAGAGTCACACAGCGAGAGTCCTAGAGCTGTCCTAGGGTGGGAACGCTGTGCCCCGCCTCCGCCCCCTCACCTGCTGGTTCCAACGGTGCAGCTGGCTGTAGCGCACCCTGCAGAAGAGGAGCCCGTCCAAGTACACGGAGTACAGCTGCAGACACAAAGACTGGCGGTGAGCAGTGTCGGTGTCCGGACCACATCCCCTGCCCCGCCCCCCGGGCCCAGCCCGACCCGGGCCCCAGCGCACCACGTAGCGACCCCCCAGCGCG